CCCCAGGTCTAGATCCAGCTCGACCCCTCTTTGAACTTCCACTAATGCCACCAAATTGTCGTCTAGATAAAAGTGATGCAGAATTTGTAGATATCATTCATACCTGCGCTGGAATCTACGGGTATGCAAAAAGCCACGGGCATGCTGATTTCTATGCTAACAGTGGGCGCCCAAAGCAGCCCGGTTGTGAGGGGGTGCAATCAGCAATAGGTAATACACTACATATACATATTTATATTTTTGTCAGTAGAATATTTCAAGAAATCACCAACATCTCAGTGTTATAGGAAGCAGAGTGCTTAGTGCGAGTTTGATTTGTGTTAGCAGAAACAATGCCTCCGAGTATGGAGTAAGTAGATTAATCATAAACATCTCGATCACATTAACGTAACTCAAACTAGCGCTAGACACTGACGAGCATTTAGCATATAAGTAGAGGCTTTAATTCCATGGCAATTAGGCACATATTGAAACCTAGAATTATTATTAAACTCAGATTTTTTCATTACCTACTTTTATTCAAGAGTGAGTAATAGTTTTTTTTACATTATTGTAAAGTTACGCTTACACTTGCGCTAAAATGTACCTACCTAATCCGCGAAAAGCCCCAAAAAAGAAACCGCATTTTTTAGTCGCAGATGCGCGCGCATAGAAAAACTAATTAATTTTTCCCGCCACTATGAAACATTTTCACAACTCGTCTCGTTTTCTATTTTGAAGTTATTTTGATTTTTGATTTGAGTAGGTATTGTTTAATCAGAAGTGTGTTGAAAACGTCGTTTGATACCTAGGTATACGTATTTATTAATGTCGATAAAAAGCAGTCTATAGCAATAGAACAAAATCGAAGAATACATCAAATTTGTTAATCGTCTCATTTTATGGGTATATCTCCAATGAGTAAATAGAATAGTACGGATCTAACAGGAGCTATCAGGAGTTACACATGCTATTGTGAGTTGAGAGAACCATAAAAGATAGACATAATATTATTTTTGTGTAACGGTTGCCGCGCTCGATGCGACGCGGTATAAAGTAAAATATAATATACTTAATCGGTTATAAGTACCTAGGACATATTTGTAATACTTACCTATTAGTTAGATTCGTACCATTCTATCTATGGACGGACGGATAGCGGAGACTTATTAAGTAATAGGGTATTAACACATTGGAGATATATCTACCCATAAAAATGCTGCTGCCCATGCTTCGGCACGAATGGGACGGCTCGACCGGAGTAATACCACAGCCTCACAGAAAACCGGCGTGAAACAACCACAGCATTGTGTTTCGCCCTGTCAGTGAGGTTATCGGAGGCCCAATCCTTCCCCCTCCCCCCATCCTCAACCCTCAAATCCCCTATCCTGAAATCCCTAATAACCCACAAGAGGCCCCCAATCCCTCCTCAATCCCTAAATCTCCAAATCCCTAATAGGTCGGCAACGCACTCATGGGCGGTGCTGATTACTTACCAACAGGTAATCCGACAATTAATAACTTAACCGATTCATTGCCACCTTCATTTTCATGAACATTTCAGCCAGGCCCCATTCATTGGTCGGTGGCTCAACATTTGAGTCATCGGCCTCCCTGATTGATGACTCAACTGATGAGTCATTGGCTCCTTGTAATGATTTAATGCTTTTTGCCATCATTCAAGCCAGTCTGACCACCAGAAACGTGTTACTGTGTTCTCCTATTCGAATTTGTGGATATTAAAAGTGAATATGGCGTTTCAAGATAGTATTTTTTGATTTTAATGAAATATTGCAGAGGTAGTAAACATTTTAGTAACCTTTCCAACATGTATTCAATCATTATCAATTATTGTCATATTATTTGTAGATAATCAGGACTACGACGATTTTACTGAATGTAGCCAGGCAATGTTTACTGATTTCCATGATCAACAAAATGAAAATAAGGAAAATCAAGGTCTTCCAAGCTTTATTCAATCGATTTTACAAAAAAAGTATACCAAAGAAGCGTCCATTCACTGAATCTCTTAATAGTTGCAATGTTGTTTCTAACAACAGTTCAGATACTAGCATTGAAGAAATTTTGGACTCTGATGAAGACGAAGATATTATAAGAAAAAAAAATGTTTTCATATGAATGAAAATAAAATGAATAATGAGGTCTCTATAATAAAAAAATAACAGAAAAAAATATTTTAATGCATTATTTTCTAAGGATTTGACAGCAGAATTGAATACACAAGATGAGTGGCCTCCAATTTATGCTCAATTTGAGCATGATTTAGGCATAATGCTTGTTTTTAGGTTGAGAAGGGTTCCAGCAGACAAACGTTTAGAGTATTATGTGAAACTAATTATGTATTATCTTATTAGAAAAATACCTGTACAAAAATATGCAGATAGTATGTATAAAAATCGAAGTAGATAGAATGTATAATAACCGAAGTAGATAGATTTAACTTCACCCATGTGCACATAATATTTCGGCCCTTAACGTGTCGGCATACGTTTGACTCAACTATTGAGTCATTGGCCATGAATCGGCCACCTCGGCTATCGGCTAACAAAAGGTTTATGACACCTGACTATTAAAAATATTCTGTAAAATGAAGGGCCAGGTCTGATATTCACGGAAATGTTTAATGACATCTGAAAAATAGTAGATTAAGTGATATTTTTTTTAATATCGGTTTTTATACAATTTTGGTTTGACTCACCAATTGAGCCATAGGCCTTCCTAAAGGTTTTTTAATGACTCAACTGTTGAGTCCTTGGCCATGAATTGGTTAATGTATACTTCGATTTTGTTCTATTGCCATATTTTGCTTTCTATCAACACAGCACGCGGGCGAAGCCGCTGGCGGAAGCTAGTATCTAATAAGCTGTGAATTGAAAACCCCGTTGAGGTTGCGGACGTTCTGAGCAGGAAGGAACAGGGTGGTTATTAGTCTAGTTATATATTAGTTAGTGGTAGTAAGGTTGGTTCTAACTTTTCCTTTCGGCCCACCCAGAACTGGAGACTCATACTCAGTACCTACTTACTTAATTAAAATATTTCTGCTCAAAGGTTTATTTATAAATATGTTTATTTCTTTACAATCCTGAAATAGTCCTGGATTCCTTTCAGTTTCTTTTTTGTTTTGTTTCTAAACATCAGTCTTAGAGAGAGAGGCAGGTACTTACAATCACAATTAGAATACCGGCATATTTTTTTTATTTTTAAGGGACTATCAATTGACAACGTAGCGATACATTATCGTATAATTATGGCTATCATAAAGTCTGCGGAATGAGCAAATCATTTAGATTTTTTGTTCGCCACCTCTCTCACGTCTTTGGATCATGGATCACGTAGAACCCTTTAGATGGAAGAAAACATCGGATACCTTTACTCCAGTTATGATAGTGAGCCGTTGGAAGCAGCCAATTAGGTACTAATTATTTTATATCACCGCCCATGATCGCGGCTGATTCCTTTGATTTCGAAACGAGTTACCTTACCGAACTTATGACTTACTAGCTACTCTCACTCGGTTTCACCCGCTGCTCAGCTCCATTTGATCGTAGCGTGATGTTTTATAGCCTATAGCACTCAGGAACATGGTATCTATCTATCAGTGAAAGAAATTTGGCAATCCGATCAGCGGTTCTAAAGATTACCCCTCACAAACTTACAAATTTTACCTCTTTATTTATAATATTAGCACGGAGTAAGAACAAAATATTAGTATAGATTACAGTACGATCTCTTATTCGGTATATTCCTGTTGTCTCCATGTGCTTTGGCATTTGGTGTAACGTTTTTTTTTTTTTAACTAGCTAATCTCACCCGGTTTCACCCACTGTTCTATCCATTGGATCGTAGCGTGATGTTTTATAGCACTCAGGAATATTGGAGCTATCTATCAGTGAAAGAATTTTGGCAATTCGACCAGCGGTTATTACCCCCTACATAGTACATACAAACTTACTAACTTACAAATTTAACCTCTTTATATTATTAGTATGTATAGATAATTCCTAATATAAATCTCTTTACCCCTTATTCTGTGTACTGGTCACACCAAACTAGGTACCGTGTGATCATTGCACTCTGTATTCAGTCTATATGAACACATTTTTTTTATTTTATAACTATAATGACAAAATCTTTTTAGAGGGTTGCAGCCATGGCCGATCAAATCTATTCTTTGGAGAATCAATAGACTCAAAGATTCCCTTTACTTCTTATCCATGTGAGAGTTGGGACAAATTTGAAAATGGCGAATGTAAAGAAAATCCTGCAAATATGGGATACCCTGTTTCAACAGATATTAGAGGAGACTATTATCTTCATACAAATAGTGAACCAGAATTCGCAAGAGGTGATGAGTTTTAGCCAACAAACTTTTAAGATATGTAGCATGTATTGTCTAGTATACCAATTACCCAAGTCAATCTGAGTATTTACTGAGTGTATTTGTTGCAACGATACTATTATTTTACGTAAACGATAAAGGTTGATTAATAAAAAATGTAAATAAGAACTGACCAATAAAATCATGTTGCAGTGTTTCGATATAAATAATTCCGCCACTTACATACAAAGAGTATGGTTGGTACCTGCATTGTAACATAAAATAGGACTCCTATTTCAAAGATTAAAAATGAAACCATTTCTTAAATAAACATTATGTATATTATGGTATAAATAATACAGTCTTTAACTACTCGTAAAAACCTTACTTCGATTCTTTATTTATAAACATTTCCCATTTAAATAACCTTATCTCAAAGACCTTATCTACAGAGATCATGTGCTTACGCCAATGATATGCACTTTAGTAAATTACTTTGAGCTTACCTAGAGTGTAATTAATACTAAATATGGTATTTTCGATATCTTCAGAAACAATTATACAATCATTATGATCGCGAATATTATGTAAGTTCTAAAAGTAACGACCATATATGATTTGAAAATAGACCAGAGAAATATTTACAAATACAAGAACATTGCTTCTTGCATGATGCATTAACATATTTTTTTAGCTAGCAACAACTGTAATAATGCGAAACAATAAAATAAATCGTTTAGATTTTTAAAGCTGAACTTATTTTCTCCTTTAGACCTGTAACAAATAAGAGTTTATTAATATTTGGATTAAAGATAACAAGAAATGTCTTAACAGAACTAACGAGTGTATCAGAACATTTTAGTTATACTTCATTATGCCTCAGTCGGGAAAAGAAGACAAAATAATAGGAATCATCATATCAGCTTGCAAATGTATATTATATAATTAAACAATCAGGAATATTACCTACATTCCAATAGCGTGTAGTAAGATAGATAATAATCTCGAGCGCTAACACCGCGGAGCCAAAGGCAGCCAATGCACTGAAAAAAATTAAACACCTTAAATCCTCAACACATATTACAAAATTCAAATTAATAATTTTACAGACCATAAAAAATAAGCCCTTACTATTGCAAAATACAACAACCTGAAAGTATAAAGTCAGTTCATGATCTGACCATTACTAGTTGAACCTAGGTAATCAGGCTGTTCAGCACTGAATCTTTAAAGGAATAACATTAAGATATTTAAGTATGAAAAATGTATTACGTTAATCGCTAATAGTAAGGACTTAGGTTTTCAAATATCAGATTTTTATAGGTATGCTTCAATATGCATCAGTCGGGAAAAGAAGACAAAAAATGTGAATCATCATAGTTTATCACAAGTTAGTTGTTTACAAACATCAATAATTAAAAGTAAAAAGCATACATACACACCTCGGGTATAAACCATCTGTTCAGTTGACTAAAATAATGTTAAAGCTTCTATCCTGGTCATCTGAAAAGAAAAACAAATATTAAGTTTTTGTTTTGTCACATTTTACACAACATGTGTTCTACAATTCATATACAATTTGGGAACAAATAATTCATAATGATTATAATTGAAATATTTCAATCTTTATACATTTTTTCAATGCTTTACTAAAATATTTAGACAAATTGTTTATAATTACCAGAATATATGCCGATGGAGTTGTCTAACTAAAAACTGAAACCTGTGAACATAACAATATTAAAATTAGTTTTAAATTTAAATATTTTCATTTTCGAGTAGCAGTTTGTGTTTTGTCGGTGGCTATAAAACATGAATTTTGAAATTAAGTTAAAGTACTATTATAATTATAATCATTGTAAATTATTATATTCATAATTAAATATTTTATTGGTTATTAATTATCTTAGGGATTATTAACAACTACTTTGTTACAGCTTTTCTAATTTCTTGGTAAAATAAGATGATTTTTAGTAGAATATTAATTCCATAGAATATAATTCATAAAATTAGCTTCGTGACAGAAGCTTTTTTTAGTTTACTAGGAAATATGCAGTAAAAAAATTAAAACTTTAATACTGATCATGTCTATAATTTTATTATATAATTTTGTAGTCACAGCATAAATTGATGGTATTGGTAGTTAAATTAATAAAATATGGTGAGAGAAAACAGGTACAATCTGCGAGTGTATAAGAACTATTTGGCATGATGTTTAAACTTCTACCAGTTCGAAGAAGTACTTAGATTTTTTTATGGTTTACAAAACATTTAGATCGGATGTCGATGATCGGAAAAAGAACATATCCCCATTTACTCATTTACTGATTACTTAACATGATTGAAAATGTAAATGTGGATTTGGACCGTTTATGTAGAATAAATAAATCGTGAATTTGATTATGTGTGAACGAAAGGCAAATAAAATTGGGTTGCGTATTTAGACATCTTGTAAACCAACACACATATTTTGTAAACACGGTTTAGCTTACGCAAAAATAACGTAGAACAGTAACATTCAGATTCGTAATCGATACACGTATATAACCTTAAATATAATTTCAGAGCAGTAAGTAAGCAGTAAGTTGCAGTAAGTAGTTTAACGCCGGGAAACAATGAAACATGTTTTTGTTGAGTTACTTATCCCAATTTTCATAGACAATTTTTTTTTCTTAGCTTACCGTCTTTACGACGTATAATTACTCTAAGTTCAAAAACGTATGAGTAGGTTGTACTTAATGGTATATAACTCTCCTGTTACTCCAGAAGTTCAACTTTTATTTCCATAAACAAGTAACTCTTTACAGCTTTCTACGGATCATGAGTAGGGTGAACTCATCTAATTCTGTGACTCGCCTAATTCGGTGATATTTGGTTTGAGCGCTATCATAGGGCTATACGAGTGAAATCAAAGGTTTCAAATACAACCTTAAGCCTCAGTGATTAATCTCGAATTCGTATGTAAATTTTGGGGATGCTCGAGTGAGCGAGATAGAAACAGCTAACGGTTTTGTCAGTTCGGGCGCGAATTTCGACGGTTTCCGCAGTGGTTGTGAATGGGTGGCGAACTTTGCTTCATGTATATAAGTATTTAACCCATTTTTTAGCTTCTTTCGAATAAAGTGGATTCTATATGATATTCCCTTGATGTGGCAGTGAAAAAATCGTCAAAGTTCTGCGTCTTTTTCGTGTTAGAGCTTATTTTGTTCGTCAAAAATATTAGTGTTTTAGCGGTTGAGTGGTTTCTGTGCTATCACAGAATTATAGTAGTTATGTACAAATATTTGTGGTTTTAACTAAAATTATTGACTTATTTTGAGTGTAGTAGACAATATTGATGTTATTTTATTACGTTTATCTGGTCTTAATTAAATTGACGACTTTGGGCCAATATTATATTTTGCTATCACGGAATTAGTTGACACTTTTTTTTGGACTTGTCACGTAATTGCGTGAGTAATTTACCAAATTTCACATTTTTTTTTTATTAATATGAGCTCAACTTTAGGCAGCCGCTATAATCTTAGCAGGTAGGTACGTATTAATTATTTTAAATTGCAGATTCACTTTCAGATATATCATGGATGACCCCAACAAGAAAAACAGAAAATATTCGGAGACCGATCTCAAAGTTACTTGCCTAATTCCGTTATATCAGAATTAAAGTATAAGCTATCACGGACTTACACCACGGAATTAGGCAAGTTGACTTGGTTTAGTAAATTTGGTATAACTCTTAGGTGTCTAGAAAAACATCTGATTATTTGTGCTAATATTCCTCATAAAAGATTGATAAAAAAGGCATGCTGAGACTGAATTAAATTAGTTAATAATTTACTGGTATTTTGTAACTCAAATGCCTTTGTCACGAAATTAGATGAGTTCACCCTAGGTACTTTTTCATATATCATCTACAAAACCCACTAAAAGTTATATACATAGTTTGTAATACCCACCCAGTGACCAAGTGAAAGCTTTGAAGATTTAAAGTGAAGATATCATAAATTTAAGTCTTGTAAATTGCAAGAAAATATAAAATAAGTTTTCCTCCAAGCCGTAAAGTGTATGGCCAATATTCTTCAAATGGCATAATAATGCGCAATAACGTCCGTTCGAATTTAGTAGTTTTATGTTGTAGCAATGCTCTAAATACAGCTTCGAATCGTCGTAATTTTTATACAGGTCATACGTAAAACCGGGACCGTACAGACTTGTCAATTGGGTCTTAACTTACCAGAGTCGTTACTCAGAGAAAGCCGTTGAATGTCATACGAAATACAAGGCGTCTTCCTGAAGGAAATGTGGTTTCTTTCTTATTCTGTTCTTCGCGTATAGCTCCAATCCTTTTTGCGGCTAAATAAAAAGTATTAAATTGTGCAGGCAAGCTACAGTTGTAGCAGTTATGAAAACTTTACAAACACAGTAAACAAAAGGATTTTAACCTCAAAAGGTAAAAACATCATCATACAGAAGCGTCGGAAAATGTGTAATAAATGAAAAATAGAAATATTTTTATGGATAATCTTCGAAATAACTCGAGAATATTTGAAATGCATGCAGTTATCGAGCCTATAGCAGGCTTAGAACGATGCGTCACGAGACCACATTACAGAAAACGATTAGTTTTAATATTGCATGTTTTGTACACCAAAATTAGATAAATATCACCAACTAGCATGTTGCATGTTGTAGCTACATAAAACTGTCTATTTTAAAGCATCAGAAATAGGGAATGACTCTTTAAATTACAGAAAATTCAAATAAAATAGTATGATATAAATGGTGAAATTGATACCCATTTAATTATACGAACCAAAAAAATACAATCGAATTGAGAACCTCCTCCTTTTTTTGAAGTCTGTTAAAAATCAGAATGAAAAATGATTACATTCTATACTACTACCATAACACAATTATTTCAGAGATAACTCTCATCTTAATAAGGTATTCTTGCACTCTTATCGAGACATTTGTAAAAACAATTGACATCATCAGCAACATGATACCTAGAACTGATTGAATCGTTGTCGTAATTGGCTTAATCAAAATCTGCTAAAAAAGTCACGAAATCGAAAACCTAATGAAATTAATTTACCTGGCAGAGTGCATCAAACCGGAACCGGACAAGATTACGATTAAAGAATTCTTTTTGACGCAAAGATAAAACGTTTCTGCAATATAGTAACAGTCTTATTAAAAAGCAAATATGTACTTGAAAAAATATATACTTCATATTTGTTATTGAAAGTTCAAAAGATGATGTGTATGTATTGTCAAAAATGCAGTTTACATTTATGACTGGTGATGATACTGATGATGCTCAAATAAACTACTTTTAGTTTTGCGTAATTTTTTTCAGAAGAACTTTTTTATTACGAGACACATTCAGCACATATTTTTTTAAGATTTAAAATGGCCAGGCGCCGTATATGTCCGATCTCTATCAATTATAAGTATGTACTTAGTGATTTGGACATAGAAATGCGCAGGTACATATTTCAGAGCATCACCATTTGCGTAAGTTTCCTTATAGCCAAAGATGAAGACGTCAATGAAAGTAAAACTAATTACTTGTGACACGTGATTTGTTTTTTCAACGGAGTTATACAATACAATACATGTAGCACATCAAAGCGCCAACAAACGTTAAATTTATTTATAAGATATTCAAGTTTATTATTTTGTAATAAAACTGAAAATCCAATAAACAAATTTCAGGTTGTGGCAGATTAATTTGCTGTTTCCTGTATTAAATTGAAAACTCGTGTCAATACACAGCATACTTACCAATAGTTTTATATCAGTGCTAATTTCCTTTATTTGTAGTAATTACGTTTGTGAAATTATTAAAAATAAAATATCTTAGGGAACATGTGCTGCTCATAATATTTTTAATGTACCAATTAAAAGTACAGTCAAATAAATTAGCACTGATATTTGTCAACAAAAGTTATTTGGCTGCTTCAGACTTTTTCTCACTATTTACGCCTGTAAGGAAAAATATGTATAAATAAAGAAATTACTTCCTACGTACGACTATTCTATTGCAATAATAATTATTATTTTCAAATCAAAGGTTGTGTTCACAACGTATAGCAAAATTTTATATGCACCTTTGTAAGAAAATGTGTTGAATAATTTTTCATATCATGGAGATAAAATAACATACATGTTATAGCTTTCAAATGACCGAAATACATGTAAACCCATTGCTGTCGAATTATTTGACAAAAATCGAAATATGTTTTGTCTTGTTCGTTATTTTTAGGAAATAAAAAAAATATTCGCCGAGATCATCGAGAAATGGCACTCCCAAACAAAGCTGAGGCGGGACAGATACAAACTAAATATTATTGCGATCAAATAATGATCAGCCTGTTATTAAATAACAAACTTTAATGAATAATTTAAATTACAAAAGCAGCGTGGTGTCGTCTACAGGAATATGAAACGAACTCTTAAAACTTAAGAAAGAATTGATATTCTATTAATTTATAGAAAAACAATATAATAATTACAATTTAAATCCTAAAAATAAAATAAAGACATTAGGTTGTGCAGAGTATGTGAAGCACTTATTTTTTGCTATTTAATATGCTAATGCTATTTTTACAGCGCGAATTTGTTTTTGAAAAATACCCTTCAGCCACGGCAATTTTGCAATTTTATCGGTTTTAACCTGCATAGTACTTGCAACTACAATTATTGTTTTGTGACTTCATCATAATTTCGGGACAAATATGTCCCTGTGTTAGTTAAAACAACATGGTATTTCAACAAAACTTAGTATACAAAAGCGTTAGGTATATTTATTTTGTACTTGATGTTAATTTCAAGACCGTATTTATATTAATACGTTTGGCACCGCCATCCGATGAATATTTTAAAGTTTATCGTTTGAAAGACGAACGCTTAGTTGTAATACCTACCACGTTTACATTAAATTTAATCAAAAATTTTAAAATACCAAGCAATGTTAGATTGATCTGTGTCCACACCAAAAATTTCTTGCATTGGTTATAATGGAAACGGAACGGGTTAGTTTCTAGGCAAACAAAATAAAAAAGAGACGGTGAAGTTCAAATCTATCGACTCAGAAGTTCACCCTCTCCTTTTTGAACATCAAACCAAAACGAAGTTTTATAATCTTCTATTCATTTAAAAAAGTTAGCTGGGAGGATGTATATTCCATATTTCATTTAATAGTTTCAGTCTGAGCTTATTTTAGCTCGAAAACTGGAGTACTTTTTATCTTGCCAGTTATAACTTTCTGTACATAATTTTACTAGTACATGAACATATATAGACAAGTGTGTTTATACGCGCGCGATAACAGCGGCAGCGCGTAAGTTACTTTTACAGTCGAAAGTATAAGAAAAAGAAATCTCACGAGTCGTTTTAGTACTGAAAGATCCAAGTTTCAAACACCAGCAATATTTACAAATTCCAAACCTTTCTCTTTTTTCCCATATTTCTTGAAAAATTAATTTAAATAAGTACAAATTCACAAACCTTAAGCTTACCATTAGTTAGTGTGCTAGAAAAAATCCAGTAAATAAATATTCAAGCTGTGTAAAACTTGTACAATACAAGCCATATTCACTTTGTTATAGTGAACTAATTAAAAAAAGCGACTGGAGATAAGTGGCTTTTATAGGATTCGATTTATAATAATTAGCAATTGAGGATGACGCTAACCCATTGAATACATTAAAGTGCGCCGTCTCAAAGGCACATAAAACTATTCATTTTAATTAACAAATTCTTTTCAGTAGTCAAAAAACCTAATATATCAAGAATACTGAGTCTTTACACAATGTTAGTAAATTTCCAAGACATAAAATTCTCATTTTATATAAATCATTAGCTCCCCTAGAACTTTACAAACCCCGGATATGCATTGCGCAAAACCATACACAGTGTAACATAAGCCACCACCTGCCACTACGGTCAGCAATCAAAATAACGAACATAATCTCCCACCAACCTCCTATTATACAATAATTTAAACAGTACGGTTGTTTCTTTACGAAAAGAAACACATTTATGATTCTATTTTTATTAAAATATACCCAGTTAAGGTACGAGAGCTTGCAACAAAATCAGTGATTTCAGGAAGCAAAAACTTAGAAAAAGAAGTGTTTGGCGGGACGGACCATCGGATTCGAAGAAGTTGTTATTTCCTGTCTCAATAATGAAAATTAGGCAACTTTGAGCTTGGAATCCCGAAATAAAAAACGATGGGAGTCGCAGGAAGAATTTAATAAATCTATTCCCCGTTGAACTCAATCGTCAATATCCTAATTTTCTATAGTTGTTATTATTATCAAACTTGTTGGTGGTTTATTTGTACGATGAAATCCCATTTGCGTTGATTATGACATTTGATTAATGTGTATCAGTTAAGTATTCTACTTTTTTACTTAACTTCAGTCATTTGAAAGTTAATTACTCGCAATAGGAACCAACAAAACAATTTACAAGACCACACGTACTTATAAGTAAAATATAAGGGATTGAAATTTCTTAAAACTGTAATTTGGTAGTCCTCGATTAAGTTGAATACAAAAAACCAGTCTGGCCGATTTTCAGCTCGTTTTGAGATTCTGAGTCTTAAACAAAAATGGCTTCTGGATGTGTAATTTTTATTTTTACATCGACTCTCGATATCCCACTAGATGTGATACCACAATCATGTTGATACCCGTTGTCAGATTTTTGAGGCTTCTGACTAGCCGTAACGAATGTCATAGAGTTTTATGACACCCGGGACCGACAGCTTAACGTGCTCTCCGAGGCACGGGGGTTCATTGCCACCACAATTCTAAACTATATTCAACCATAATTTTAAAATGCTTTAGCTCGTTTTCGTCCCGTTGCGGCAAAGTAACTCGAATACACTTAGCGCAACGGCCGGTCTGGTCTCCCAGTCACTGAGAGAACGGTGTTTACTAAAACTTATAAGAAAGATATGAATGAGGGACAAAAGTATATCGTTATTTTAATAGTATTCATTTTTTTAAGAGTACACTTTTTATTTCATGTTTTAAACACTATCATATTTGATATTATTATATTATAACTTATACCACAGAAATAATTACATATTACCGTGTTTATACATGAAAAAATTTAAAGTACGAGAGATGTGCTACTTCTAGTCACATGAAATGACTAAAATAATTTTAAGTATACACTACTTCTCATACCATTTATATCACAAAAAAAATCTTATGGAAGGTGTTCCTTGTTGTTCTAAGCATTGATTACATGCTAGTTTTTCAGCCAAGTCAATGGTTTAAAAAAGTAAAACAATATCAATAAGAATACCTAGTTGACAAATGTAAAAATGACTTCGAGGGGTTATACTGAAATAAGAATTCAAAAAATATTTTGCTATATGTTTTTTATTCAAGACGTTAAAAATAACTAATTTACCAAATGTTTAAATAATCTCTTCACACTCAATTCACTATGCTCAAAGTTATAAATAAAATTTTTAGCTTTCGCCCTTTTTTAGTTATCGTTAACTGGTGCCACTTATGGATAATTTGTTTATTGCAATAATGGCGCTAGGTAACACCTCAATATACGCCTCCAGAACAGATATAAAAGAATAAGTTAGGAAAAATACAAGAAAACATAATAAGAGAACTGAGGGTTCTTTAGATTCCATTCTACACAAACCAATGAAGACATACCATACATACAGGTACTACTCGTATGCCATGCTTCAATAATGCTTATCATGTTTTAAAAGACAAGTGACGTTTATCTATCAGAAAATTCTAATAAAAGGTTAATTCATGAAACAAATCGATTTTTGTATAGTTAAGTTTTATATTGTTTACAAAATGGTTAAAATAACCTTCTACTTTACTAAAACATTCGTGTTAAACTTTACCACGAGTGCTATCAAATGATGTAGCATTTTTATAACATTTTTAAAAAGTACCCCTTTCTTAATAAGGGCTGAACATAATTTTCACACTTAATGCAATGTAATGAAGTATCTAGGTAAACTGGTGTTGTTGAAAATTAGGAATGTTAACATTATAATTTGTCAATATCATATAATATATTTAATTGTATCATAGAGATACAATTATACATAAGGTATAAAAAAATGTTAAAGCCGTGAGTTGACTATTAACTCAACGAATTGTGATAATAGCTGTCTCTCTAGTGGAATGATGTAATAATTCACACTGATGTCGAAACAGTAAAAACGACGATTCTCGCCATTAGCAGACTTAAAAGTATACCTAACGTAATTTATTTCTACGGTGAGTTTATTTTAAAGTTATGTGATAATTTAAAGCCTTTGGTTAGGACAAATAATGGGTTCATAATTACGCGCTTCCTACAATGAAAGACGCACGAAAATATTTTTATAAATACAATGTTAAATTAAACCGTAATGTAAAACACTAGCCGGCACGTAAGATATAGCTATACAAACCGACACTTGCTTTCATTCGTAAAGTTTTACCTAATAATTTTAACAAAGTTAGGATTAAATGTTTTGTCATATTTCCTTTATTTGCACCCAACCAACGACCACCAAACAGTATAAAATGCTCCACTGACGGAAACACGGATTTACACACTATTTGCTCCTAAGAGCTGCATTAAAAACGGCGACGTTTGTTAGGGTAATCGTCCATTTGGCGCGGTCCTTCCCAACCGCGATTTGGCGGCATGTCATCATAACTCCCACGGGGCATGTCGTACTGGTCTCTGTAGCCTCCATCCTAAGTAAGCAATCACAATACTTTCTAATAGAAAATTTACTTAAGAAAATTGTATTTACAAAAAAATACGAACTTTGTCTACAATGAACTGACGCATAGTATAAACCTCACTTTTGCTCCTTTTACTCCAAAATGAACCGCAAGAATAAGTAATATAACAATAATAATTGATATTAATTGTGTTCGTGACAATGTTTGAAGTATTTACTAGGGTCCAAAATCTCCGGGAACTAAATAGAAAAACTCTAGTTAACACATTTTTCCCTGCATTCTACATTGATTATACAACAAACAATTCATACGCCAATAAATTTGGTAAAAATTGTACGTACTAATCTATTTTGAACTTAAATTATTGTTTATATAATATGTAAACAAACATCTGTAGGTTGTTTTCTTTACATATTCAAAAAGTAATTAGTTAACTTGGGGTGGCAGATGTTAAGCAGTTGACGTCTTATGGCCGTCATGTTTATGTATTTCAATATGATATGATAGTAATAAATCTATTATGAAACTTATTTACTACATAAGTTCAAAAAAATTATTAAGTAAACAAGTTAATCAATCAAAAAAAGAAAAGAAATGAATTTAGCCAAAAATCTTCCTTGCAGCAAAACATCTTTGGTCATGAAATTCATGTGGTTTGTCCACTTTAGATTTCTTTTTCATTATTTGTAAGCAATTATTTGTAGCAATTTTCATACAGCTAGAATGTGTTATTATGACTTGAAGGCTGTTACTGCATGAAATAAATAAATGTTATCTATTGAAAAGTAAACAGCAACAACAAATCTGTATGTATAATTGAATACTTCAACTTTACAAAGATTAAATAAAATTGTTTCAGGCAATAATGACTGCATAATTGTGGTGAATTATTTGAACCAGAGATAAAATCTATTTAAATACACTCTATATATAGACTGAATAGGATCATGTATAGAGGACTTATAGAATATTTCTTGTTTCGACCTTGATATATTTGAATATGAATACAGTCTCATTTCTATTGGTGCAGTATTTTCTATGATCCTCAACTTCTTTTTTTTGTATTTCGTAATTGACAGGCATTTGGCCGCTAAATATCACTATACGATAAAGCACGCCTACCAATAAGCAAATTCATTGGGGCCTTTTAGACTCCCAGGTTAAGGTAAGGTCCCTTCAGGGAACACAGACTTCGGCAAAGTATTCCACTCCATAGCAGTTTGGATTATATAAAACTGGAAGCGAATGGCTTCGTGTGTGTCTTAACAATGTAATAATAAATAATGATTTCAGTTTGTATTGAATAGAAATAAGTCTTACGATGACGATCGATGATGACTTAGTTGTGAATAAAGTACGATACGTAAACAGCGTCGCTATAAGTAGTAGAGTATTGTTATTATATTAAGTTACTGCTATAAAAAAATACCTGATAAACTTATAAGTCTTTACCTAATTATTACATAGTAACATAAATGTTCAAATAATCAGGTTCATCGGGTTGATACCTATTTAAGTGCTTTAAAAGAACAATGAGTAACCCCATATTGTTATGTGCACTTAAATATGCAAATCACACTAATAGTTCAGTTTAAGTCAGAGATATCCAAAAGCATATTTTCCTTGTCGCGTGATGCCGTCATCACATAACAATGAAAACACGAATATCCACGAAAATTTTGTGCCGTAGTAAATACTGGTTTAAAATATGTCGAAAATCAGATGTTAAATAATTGTTTTAGTACGTAAGCTTTCTTGTCCTTCCACTCAGAAGACCAGATTCATGTTGCTAGAGAATAAATTTCCTGGTAGCTGTAAACAGCTATATAATAAAGTAGATCAATGCACACTCTAAATTCACTTTGATGTGTCTTTGGAAACATTCATATAATATGCTGTGCATACTTATAAGGAAATAATTATGTTATCAGTTCCAAGAGTCGTAAATTGGTTTGAAAGCCAATGTTGTCTAGGTCAGTGTTAGAGCCTATTTAAAATTAATATCCATGTTTGATGGATAAAAAATGCTTAATAATGATAAATGGCAGAATATTATGTTGAGATATAAACCTCATATTTTCTATAAATATCCTGGGGGTCAGTGACATCAGTTCCTTAAAGTAAAATTCAAACTTACCATTGGCTGCTGCTGGTCAAACATGCCTTGCTCTTGGCGATCCAGCATTGAGTTCAAACGTTGAGCCTGTTAAGTAAATTACACAGTTAAACAAATATCAAACAGGGAAACAAAACAAATGAAGTAAAATAAATAGGTTCACTATTTGACCAACAAAGCAATAATTGCAAAAAACAGTCAGCTTCAAATTTGCAGATTAACAAAATAGACTGTTATAAGCACCTGCACGAAAAGCGTATTCTCCTGTTGTCGACGGCGCAGCTCGTCGTCCTGCTGGCGCATGCGCTGCGCGAGCTCCTCCTCTTGGCGCAGCAGCTGCAGGCGCTCGGCGTCACGTCGCTCGTCGGCGGCGCGCTCGGCCAGCTCCCAGCTGCGCTTCTGGCGCTCACGGTCCTGCTCTCGCTGCCGCAGCTGTTCACGTAGTAACTCCGTTTCGTGCTCGTACCTATGTACACTTCACTGTTAATACTACTGTCCACCTCTATATTTAATATGATTAGATTCATGTTATATGTTATACTTACTTTGCATACTCCATCTGAGCTTCCAATTTTTCTTCTTCAGCAGCTAATTCTTTTTTAAGTGCCTCCTCTTTTTGGCGGTGAAGTTCGTGTAACTGTTTCCACCTTGTACCATACTCATGTTCAAAGCTGCTAGGCTCAGAAAATCTTGGACCGAGCTCACGAGCCCGTAAAAATTCCGGGTGCTTTTTAGGTAAGTTCTTTTCTGGGTAACCATCAAACTCATCAGGCTCCTCAAAGCTTTCCACAATAACTGGACGAAGAGATCTAAATGAAAATAATAAAATAAAAAATACATACCATCCATAATATACACAAAATATTCAAATCATGACACTTAATTTATACTAAAATAAATAGAACTTACGAAGTCAAGAAGAAACATTTCTCTGTACAATTACGGATTGCAGCTAATGCACTAGGTTTACGCGCAAATTCTACAACTCCTTCACCAAGTGTCTTCCCTCTTTCATCTACTCGTACATATGCCCTCTCAATTTTTCCAAATATCTCAAATGCACGATACAAAAGCTCGTTTGATACAAAAGGTGGGAGATTCTTCACCCTGACAGCACTGTTATGAGGAGCAAATCTTACTCTCAGTGTTCTTCCATTTCTCATTTTTCCATCTAGTTCCCTCTTTGCCCGCTCAGCATTCACCCTGTAGTCCTACAAAAAATAAACAATTTATCAGCTATTCAAAAAAAATTTTCTATTTTATTTTTTGTTACACTTTGTATCAAATAAATTTGAATAAAAACTTTTTACATTAAGTATGATCCCTACGAGTCACCAGTGGTCTATTTTAGGGGAAGGTTTAGCCTTCAATAGTTTTCTGTTGACAGTCAAAAACGTTCAAAGGTTCCAATCTTACCATTTTAATGAATCCAAAGTTCTTTTCTTTATTAAGAAATAGCTCGGCTGTTTCACCAAAGGGAGAAAACAGATTTGTAATTTCATCTTCAGAGACATCACTAGTGAGATTACCAATGTACAACCGACTTCTTCCATTGAACTTCACTTCAGTTTGATCAATTGGAGGTAAATCAATCAAAGGACCCATCAAATCTTTTAGTTTGTTCGCCAACATGTGTTCCTGAAATGAATATTTTGTTTACAATTTGTTTGTCACTGTGTGAACAAGACATCTAATTAAAGCAATTTCATTTCTTAACAATTTATTTTATTACTCACCTCCCTTTGTACAGGTTTTCCTCCATCCTGCTGAGGACCTCGCATATTATTTTGACGTTGGTTGCGAGGAGGTCCACCAGGACCACCTTGTTTAGGACCACCAAATGGTTTATTGCCTTGTCCAAAGTTGCCCTGTTTGTTCCCTTGACCTCCTTGGCCTCCCCAACCACCTTGTTGCTTGTTAGCTCCAAAGTTGCCATTAAGGTTCTGTTCATGAAAAAAACATTCTAAAATTCCATACCAACAACAAAATGAAAGATACAGAAGAATGAAACTGTATGCCAGTTAACTTACCCTTTGTTGTTGGTTTTGATTATTGTGTTGGTTTTGTGGCTTTTGCTCAACATTGAGTGATTTATCCACATGATCCTGTGATTCATTCTTTGCTTGAGCAACAGGGGCAGGCTTCGGTTGTTGTTGTTGCTGCTGCTGCTGCTGTTGTTGTTGTTGTTGTTGTTGAGGTTGCTGTTGGGGTTTGACTTGAGGTTGCTGAGGTTTAGCTTGCGGCTGTTGTGGTTTGGATTGGGGCTGCTGAGGAGTTGGCTTCAAAGGCTGGGCCTGCGCTGGGGATGCCTGCTGAGCTTCAGGCTTAGGCTGTTGTTGTTGTTGTGGGGGCTGGGCCTTAACCTGAGCCTGGTTTTGTTGTTGAGGTTTTTCAACAGGCTGAGCTGGCTTAACCTAAAACATTTAACTTTTTAATAACACCGATATTAAGGAAACGTTATGTAAAGTTGCAGCACATGCATAAATTTTAAATTGGCACACATACCTACTAGAAAACAGCGAAAAGTAAAAGCAAGGGTCAATTGGCATTAAATTTCTTTAGAAAAATTGCGCTCACAAATACACATTTAATATATTCAGCGAGTATTCTTAGGGGTGGAGCTAACCACGGGTGAACATTAAAATAAACAATTTGTCTCAATATATGCCAAAAGCCTAAAATCAATACATTAGCACGACACCTAGCTAAAACAGAACAAAATGGCGTCGGCGACTCGCCACCGTCACCCACTTTATGAAGACTGCTTATTTTGGTCCCTAGACTACTCTATGCAGATTTTTACAAACACAATTCCAAAAATCAACAAATTGGAAACTATTTTAACGCCATCAATATCAATACTGATAACATAATCCTACATACCTCATTAGGCCGTTGACCTCCTTGACCGTGATTCATATTCCTCTGGGCGTTATGCATATTGTGATCAAATCTCGTATTGCGAAAGCCTCCACGGTTGAATCCACGACGACCCTGTCTTTGTGGTTGCGGTGGACCGCCAAAACCCCGATTGCCGAATTGATTCATGGCTTGCATTTGCATTCTTCGAAAAAGCGAAATAAAACGTGAGATTATAAAAGATTTCTGATATTAATAATAATTTTGGAAAAATATTATACGTACCTACGCTGACACAGCTAAGTGGTAATTTTTCCTAACTTATTATTATTAATATTATAGTTTAATTAAAACACGACGCTATACTGACTAGGTCACGCAACGCAAGCAGCGACCACGCAGCGACTTTTGTATAAAATGGCGACGGACGGTGAAGGGTTTTTTTTTTTGTTTTTTGGAGTTTATAGCCAGGATACAAGTCCTTTAAGCCAAGCAGCGGTAAAGGTAGTTAGTGTCAGTGTTGCTAGCTTTATTTTTAAGCCACCATACACGCATTTTGCCAAGATTAAAAAAAAATACAGTTATTGCAATACGATGAAAGATTATAATAAACGTAATTAATTTAATATTTTTTAAGCCAAAAAGTTGGCCGACTCGGCCGTGGTACCACTGTGACGTAATTTTTTCACTTGAACTTTCGAACACTGAAAAACGGACGGATCGAGTGAATAGATCACAGAGTATAGTAATGGAATAGGTATAAAAGAAGACTTCAAAAGAGGAGTAACGGGTGAATACGTATGACGAATTGGAAAATTGTTCTTTTTTTTTATGTCACAGGGTTTCTCTGATGGTAAGCAAATCTGCACTGCCCATGAACACTTGTAATAGAGCCGTACGTTAGTGCGTTGCCGACCTATTACGGGTTATTAGGGATTTAAGGATAGGGGATTTGGGGATCGAGGATGGGGGTAAGGATTGAGCTAAGTCTTCTTAACTAAAAACTAAATACCTAAAGTAACTACCTACATACCTACATGCAATTACTGTTTCTGTCATGATCAAACTTGACCCTTCAATATTTCCTCCATGGGATAGGGATGAGACGTATTTACCATACCAGGTTTTAAAACCAGGGCTTTGCTTCAAAGTACGGCGCCCTGGTACGAGGCAGAAATACTTGCAAGTATTGAAGTATTTGCTATGCCACCGGTCCGGCACAGGTAGGGCTAGGAAATACTTTCATCGGAAATTTATCCATGGTTTACTTAATATAAGACCCACAATCCCAAATCTAATCAAGGCTTTAAAACAGAAGTACATTATGCATGTGATGATTATGGACCTAATTTCTATACAAAAACGGATCAATTTCCTTTGGCAAGCGTTTTGCCCGCGAGCCCTTGTTGCACGTGCGCGTCCCGAACGTCCGCGCCTCGAACTTCCGATATCTACGAAAATACTTGCATAGCAAAATGATTCGTTTTGCCTTAGTAACAAGGGGCATAATCCTAACAGAAAAAAAAATTGGAAGGACATTGAAAGTATTTTTTGTTTAATGTGTAAATAAAGAATGATTCATATTGTAATGAAAAAAAAATGTACGTACATATATAGTAAATGATTTGAAATCTTTTAACTACACCTGCTAAGCTAAACTGGGTATTACGTATTTAAACAAATTCATAACAAAATACCGTAAAAACTTAAAAAAAAATCGTAAAAATAATTATCTTAGCAGACAGTCCTAAGCCTGAGATTAAAGTAGGAAGGAAAGATTTCATTTTCATCTATAAAAGTCTAAAAGTATAAGATTGTCACATGGTACGAACAAGACTAGTAGACTGAAATACGCATTGGAGTTAAAATACTTTCAAGTATTTTAATACCTGGTTTTCAGCCCTGGTATTTTTACATACTCGTACTTGCAAGCCCTGGTATTAATTTTTACAAGTATGTCTCATCCCTACCATGGGATAAAAAGAAAACTAAAAACTGACGTGAAGGCCTGGGTCTTGCGTCATATTATCGCCTTTTAAGATCGTATCTAAATCAGATTTTTGCTACTAATGTACTGCTTCACTAGTCTGAAATATCTTTTGCGAATACAGAAATACTTAAGTATATCTATTGCTATACTGCTCCGATCAGATCAGATAGCTGGTACATATACTTTAATACTACCGTAATAATCCAGTGATGTGATTTTTTTTAGATGTTATACTATATATGTGAAGGAGTGTGATACTACGTAGGTACACTCCTTCACAGAGTAGCTCTTGGAAGAAAAATTCATAAAGATATATTATAGGATATTAGTAAAAACACACTTGGCAGAACACATATTTATTACTTGACGTTCTCTTGTCAACTCAAAAAAAGAAAATTCAAAATACTATCATAAAATGCATAGAGATTAAAAAAAGGTCGCAATACTCTTGCTCTAACACTCCTCCTTAATCTCATGCATATGATATGTACACACACATCTTTACTTTATACACGCAATCCCATACCATTCACACACCACTCATACTTGCCTCTGGGGAGAGCCTTGGTCAGAGCATCTGCTACCATCTTATCTGTTTCCCGATACTCCAATTTTATAGCTCCCGACTCAACAGCATTGCGTATAAAATGATATCTCACATCAACATGTTTTGTACGTTGGTGATGTACAGGATTATTGGCTATAGCAATTGCTGACTGGCTGTCTGAGAAAATCCGAATTGTTTCTTCCTGTTTACCAGTCATCTCTGCAATCAGCCTTTTGAGAAAGACAGCTTCTTTTGCAGCTTCTGATAGCGACACGTATTCTGCTTCGGCTGTGCTCATAGCCACCGTTCGTTGTTTCGTGCTTTGCCAAGAAACTGCACCTCCTTGAATAAGGAACACGGAACCTGAATATGAACGTCGATCAGCGTCTCCTGCATAATCGGCATCCGCGTAACCAACAACAACTTCTGGGTATTTTTGTTTGTTGTATGTCAACCCAAGCGTCTTGCTTCCTTTCAGGTAACGGAGGATTCGCTTTGCTACAATCCAATGTTGTTCCTCATAGCATTCATTGAACTGGCTAAGATAATTAACCACATGAGCAATGTCAGGCCTTGTACATACTGCTACATACATGAGCGAACCTATCAGTGCTCGATATGGAATTCTCTCATCTGGTCTCCTTCCATGTGTAGGCTTCTCTAGCCGTTGACCGGGTACTGCTGGTGTAACTACTGGTTTGCAGTCTTCCATATTAAATGCCTTCAGGAGTCCATCAATATACTTCTCCTGATGCAGTTTAATTTTGTTGACATCTTGAACAATATTAATTCCCAGCATTAACTCAGCTTTGCCGAGATCTTTCATATCAAATCTAGACTTCAACTCTTCTTTGAATTTGAACATCTCTTGCTTATTGTTCCAAAATATCAAAATGTCATCTACATACACAGCAATAATCATTATGTTTCCATTCTGTGACCGGGTGTAAACGCATGGCTCATTTTCAGATCTTCTGAACTTCAGTCTTATAAGTTCAGAGTGAAGCTTTGCGTTCCACGCTCGTGGCGCTTGTTTCAGTCCATACAAAGATTTTTTTAGAAGACAGACATAATTCTCCTTGCCCTTTACCTCGAACCCCTCTGGTTGCTTCATATAGACGATTTCATTTAAGTCTCCATTCAAAAATGCCGTTTTAACGTCCATTTGATCTATGCCTAACTCTAAACGGGCGGCTAAGGCTATTAAGACTCTTAATGAGCTATGTCTGACTACAGGCGAAAAAGTTTCAAAGTAGTCGACTCCTCTCCGTTGGCTGAATCCTCTTGCTACAAGTCGTGCCTTATAACGAGTCTTTCCCCCCGCCTCTTCTTTAATTCGAAATAACCATTTCGAATCAACAATGTTGCACGACTTTGGCTGCTTCACCAACGTCCAAGTTTTATTCTTCTCGAGGGCTCTCAGCTCCTCCTCAATTGCGGCTTTCCATTTGTCTCCATCTTCTCTAGATAATGCATCCTGAACAGTTAAAGGGTCTGGCGATGCCTTGACTGCTTGGTAAGTTACAAAATCTGGATATGCTTTTGGTATTCTTTCTCGAAGCGGATATCTTCTATCTGATGGCCCATTGTCATTTACTGGTAGCTCTCTACCTTCTTCTACAAGACCATCCTCAGGATCTGCTTCATTCCCCTCGTCAGATGATTCCCAAACCTCATCTTCAACCTCAACATTCTCAAGAGCTGGATTTCCAGGTTCTTCAGGAATTTCTGGCTCTTCATGATGAGTTGAAACTCTATCATACTCAACCGTAACATCCGTCAGCGGTAGCGGGACGGCTTGATTAACGGGAGCACGTAGCTGTACTTTTGAGTTTTCAAAAAATATAACATCTCTACCTCTGTGCAACACTCCTGTCGTAGGGTTAATAAGGCGATAACCGTTTTCGCCATATCCAACATGGACTAACTCTGTGCCCTTAGGATCCCATTTTGTGCGCTTCTGATCTGGAACATGAAGATAAGCTTTACATCCAAACACTCTGAGGTGGCTTAAGTTCACTTTTCTTCCAGTCCAAGCTTCTTCGGGCGTTTTGTTTCTCAAGGCTTTAGTTGGAGACCTATTTTTTAAATACACGGCGGTGTTGACTGCCTCTGCCCACAATTTTCTGCCTAAACCAGCTTCTTCTAACATTGTCCTGGCTTTTTCAGTGATAGTTCTGTTAGCTCGCTCAGCAACTCCGTTTTGTTCGGGTGTATACTCTATTGTCAGTTGGTGACAGATCCCTTTTGCTTTACAGAACTCATCCATACGCTTATTGACAAACTCTTTGCCATTATCAGATCTGATAATTTTAAATTTCTTTCCAGTTTGACGTTCAGTAAGTTTTACGAATTCGGCAAACTTCTCAAAGACCTCTCCTTTACTTTTCAAGAAATATACAAATGTTTTTCTAGTGAAATCATCAATGAATGTGAGAAAATATCGTGAGCCTCCGTACGACTTCTCTCTCATGGGTCCGCACACGTCTGTGTGGACTAACCCTAAGACCTCACTTGCCCTAGTGGCACCAGTTTTCTTGAAAGGGTTCTTGGTCTGTTTTCCTACTGCACACGCTTCGCACTCTAGCTTAGAAGCAGTATTAGAAAAACTTACCCCATCTGCCATTTTGTTTTTAAGTAACATTAGGTTCCGTACCCCTAGATGTCCCATTCGCCTATGCCACAATATTATTTCGTCAGCAGCGGTTGAAGCTAGACCTACTTCCTGTGAACAATACTGTATTTTATAGACACCGTTATTTGCAGTACCTTCATACAAGGTCTCCCCGGAAACCTTACATCCATCTGCTTTGATTATCTTAAAGCCAGATTTCTCAAATACAACTACAAGGTTTTTATTTACAATTGTGCTAACACTGAGTAAATTTGTAGCTAAGTTAGGTACATACAAAACATTATTAATTGAGACGTCCATATCCTCGTTGACTACATTACCAATTGCTTCACCAACCACAGTTTCTCCATTTGCACAAGCTATTACAATTGATTTGTCTAATTTCTTAAAGTCTTTAAGCCAATCTCTCCGATTTGTCATGTGGTTAGAAGCTCCGGAGTCGAGAATCCATTCTCCATGTCCTTGTGCTGCTGTTGCTAACGCTAATGAGGTTAAGGCATCCTTCTTTTGAATAGGGTTTTTCGGACAATCCTTAGCCTTATGGTTCTCTTTGCATATGAAGCACTTAACGACACGTGATCTACTCATATTCTTGTGTGACTTATCTTTCTGACTTTTATTTTTAGCTTGTAATGCGGTTGTCACGGTACTAGGACTTGCTTGATAAGTATCCTCCATCTGAAGTAATTTCGTTTTGACGTAATCTGTAGTCAATTCTATGTTTGTGTTTTCTATTGCTAACCTCATGGGTTGGAAAGTCTCTGTCAACCCCTGTAGCATCAACGCTGCAAGTAATTCATCATCTACCTTTTTGCCCAGATCACGTAGCTGTTGCGCTACTGTCATTATGGCAGTTATGTAGTCTCTGATTGAAGAAAATTGCTCTAGTTTCAGGCTCACCAACTTTGTAAGAAGTCTGCATCGATTATTCAGGCCCTTGTCTTCAAAGGCAGTCTTCAGGGCATCCCATGCCGCTTTTGCAGTCTTCGATTCACGTACGTGTATCAAACAATGTGGTTTAATCATTAAACAGATTTTTGCCCTCGCTTTCTGATCTCTTTTAGAGCCGGAAACATCACTAGCAGCTGGTGTTGTTTGAGTGTATTCCCACAAGTCTTCATGAATTAGATAAAGTTCCATCATGAACTTCCATGTATTATAATCAGTACTACCATCAAGTTTCTCTATTGCTGGTAAACTCATACTTACTCCTTGGGATGGATACGATTGTGATTGTATATGCGTACCATTGCCGCTGCTCCCAGAGTTATTCATGATCGTACTTTCTATTTCCGCTGGTGATCATAACCTGAAGGAGTGTGATACTACGTAGGTACACTCCTTCACAGAGTAGCTCTTGGAAGAAAAATTCATAAAGATATATTATAGGATATTAGTAAAAACACACTTGGCAGAACACATATTTATTACTTGACGTTCTCTTGTCAACTCAAAAAAAGAAAATTCAAAATACTATCATAAAATGCATAGAGATTAAAAAAAGGTCGCAATACTCTTGCTCTAACAATATGATTATACGAGCGATATTATTGTTTGAGCGATACGCGGGTCATGTCAATACGACATAGAAATAGCGTCATCTGAAATTAGATATTAGTATCTAATCTAACTATTTATCTTACTTACCTATTTCATGTGGCGCCAATATTTGTAGATATTGTGCCAATCGGGTACCTACCTAATATTATATCGAATAATAGCCAGACGTCTAGTGACGTTTGACATTAGACATGAATAGAATGTTAATGTGATTATTGTACATAGATATAATAAAATAGGTAGCTATTTTTGTATCTACATATGTTATTATTGTACATAAAATAGCGCCAACGTACAATCTCGTTGTATCTTGAAAAGTACACTACCTATAGTAGTCACAATAGTAGTCTTTGATCTTGACTGAAATAAGCTAATCAGCTGCGCAGTACACAATTTTGTTCCTCAAAGATCCATTGCGCAGACAAACGACTAACTTAGTAACTTCAAACCATAGATATACTGACTTCAAACTTCAGACTTCACTTCAAACTCATATCATCAAGATACGGCGGCGTTTAAATGATAAAGTTCTGTTCTGATCTGTGAATTATGTCCAAAGGAAAGTTGTAAATATAAAAAGTGATTAAACTCATAAACGATCCAACTTTATAATAAATTATAACTTTTATAATATAAAACTGTCTTTATTGGAAGAATGGCATCAAGCAAAAATTCTGTTGATACTGAAGAAGGACAAGATATTGAAACTAAATATCCTTTATTACCTTTTGAAAAACAAATATTTGTGGATAGTTTTGAAAAGGATGCTCTGGTTATAATGGCAAAGTATGTCAAGTACATCAAATTTGTTGTACATATTATTTTGTATTCAATAATCATCGCTATCTATATAATGTTTCTCAATAATCTAATAATTTCTTTTTAATCTTCACTTTTTTACAGAGGGATTAATTACAATAACATAATTTCAAACCTATTATGGATTTACAAAGATCCTGCTCATTTAGTTTTTGTGCTAAACAGTAGTGAACATGAAGAGAAATATTTTAATGAAAAATTTAACTTGTCATCATTACCTAATGTTGGAGCTGAAAGGTGAGCTATTAATATATACCCTTTTGTTGATAGTCACAATAATCTGAATTATTTATAGCTTGCTAAATAACTTTGCATTTCTGGCATATAAATAAATATAAAAGTTTATTTTTATTACTACAGGGAGAAAGCATATTTAGAAGGTGGCATACATTTAGTTTCTACTCGCATATTGGTAGTAGATCTATTAAAGAAACGAGTTCCAATATCACATATCACAGGTATTATCGTTTTGCGGGCACATACGGTTTTAGAATCATGTCAAGAAGCATTTGCACTGAGACTCTACAGGCAGAGCAACAAGGTAGGTACATGTATCAACTTGTCTACTTCAATATTCTTCAAAAAAGTGTGTACTGTATATGGATGGATAATGTTATAAGTAATAATGACTTTATTTTCTTTTTTCTGACAGACCGGCTTTGTGAAAGCTTTCTCAAACTCACCCATATCTTTTACTTTTGGCTACAATCAAGTTGAGAAAGTTATGAGAGCATTATTTGTGACTGAATTGTTTTTATGGCCAAGGTAAGCACACTCAACAGCACTGTAATTCTAGTATTATAAATTAATAATTAATAATAATTTAAAATAATCTTATTCTGTATTTTGTGTACAACAAGTATCACAATAGCATCCTACTAATATGATAAATATGAAAGTTTGTAAGACTGCATGGATGTAGTTTGGGTTAAAATTTGGTATATAGGTGATATCCTTTATAGGCTACTATTTATCAATATACCCCACGAATGAAGCAAGCGGAAGCTAGTACAGAATAAAAATACTTATTATTAATTTATTCTTTCTCTGTAGATTTCATGGCTCAGTAATAAAAAATCTAAAAACTAGACAAGCAGATGTGGTGGAATTGCACATACCTCTTACCACCAACATGAGTTATATACAAACATGTTTACTTGATATTATTAATTACACTGTAAAACAACTGAAGAGTATTAACAGGACTTTGGACATGCAGGTTTGTGAATCACAGATGTTAGCAGGCCAATCTCCTAATTTGTAAATAATCTCTGATACCTAAATTGTCAATCATAGCATTTTCTAATATAATAAAGTTTATTTATTTAGCCCATGGCTCCAAGAATATCCGTTTAAAAAACAATGTATTTTTAAATGCCATTTTATTTCAGGAAATTACAACAGAAAACTGTATTACAAAAAAGTTTCATAAAATTCTTCAGTCCCAGCTGGACTGTGTTTGGCATCAATTAAGTACGAGAACCAAAGAATACATTCAAGATCTAAAAGTACTAAGGAGTATGACTGTGTAAGAGAGTTATATAAATGACTTATAACATATATGTTGCTGATAAATCTATGCTATGGTGTTGTACTAATGAACACATTTAAAATTCCAGTAACTTACTTCATGATGATGCTGTTTCTTTCCACGCATTAGTCAGTAAATACAGCACTCCAGAATATGCTAAAGTAAATTCAGGATGGATCCTCCTCGAGTCAGCTGAGCAATTATTTCGACTAGCTAGAGGAAGAGTGTTTAATCACAAGCAAGGTTAGTAATTTATTATTTTAAAATATTTATTCTGTATGCATACATATGATATTGAAATTGAGAAGTTATATGAATAAAAAATATTTTTTCTTCCAGAGTTTGACCCAGAACCATGCCCAAAGTGGAAATGCCTAAGTGATCTGCTGCTGAAGGAAATCCCCGAGGAAATAAAAAAGAACAATGCTAACCTGAACAATACAAAAATATTAGTCCTTTGTCAAGATAATAGAACATGTTCACAATTAAATAATTACCTTACAATGGGCCCCTATAAATATCTATTTTACATGGCATTCAGAAACGACCTGACTATTAATTCTGTATCATCTAAATACACATCACTACAGAAACCTGTATCAAAAGAAGAAATACCAATACCTCATGAGGTTGAGGAAGGAGACAACAAAGAAGAATTTGTAAATGAAATTAAATCGAATTATGTTTTAACTTTAACACAATCTGCTATACAGTCTGATGCAAAATGTGAGATGCATAATGAAAGTATGTTTGAACCCATTTCTCAGGTAATATAATGCAATTACACACTTAATTTGCAAGTTACTTGGCTTTCAAGCAACCAATGTGATTATCTGGACAATAAAGTAAGAACTAATTTTGTTACAGATGGATAATTTAGATTTCACACAACTTGAAACTGAGAAACCCATCATATGCATTCAAACATTCAAAGAGAGTGGCTGTAACTTTTCACTAGAACGCACATTGGATACCTTACGTCCTGAATATGTAGTTTTATATCACTGTGATGTGGCAGCAGTGAGGCAGATAGAACTATTTGAATGTCGCAAAAAGATAGAGGAGCCAAAAACTAAAGTATATTTTATGATACATGACAAAACTGTTGAGGAACAGGCCTATCTAACATCGCTCAAAAGAGAAAAACAGGCATTTGAGCTGTTAATTCAAACAAAGAGTGTAAGTACTATATTTCTAAAACACTAACCAATATTTGCAAGGTGACTTTTTACACAGTTACAACTTCTTTAATATGAAAATCCAAAAAACTTAATTAATTAGGCATTCATAGTTTTGAAATATTTTTAGGTAATGGTTGTCCCATCATATCAAGATGGAAAAACTGAGGAGTATTTTAATTTAAATGTGGAGCATGATGACAATACCTTGGACACTCGAAAAGCAGGTAGGTAATGAGATGCTGGTTTATACTTCTTCCAAGCAGTCAGACCTGAAGCTTTAATACATCATTCTAAATTATGAGAACAAGTGATATTTTATAGTATTATAATATACTTATTCTCAATCTAATATCTTTCAGGTGGACAAAATCAGGCAAAGGAAAAGCCAGTTGTTATTGTCGATATGAGAGAGTTCCGATCAGATCTACCGGCATTACTCCACAAGAAAGGAATCAATATCGAACCTGTAACCATAGCAGTAAGAATATTAGAATTATTAATGATTATTTTCATAGAAAATATTTTAAAATTATTTCACAATCTTTACCTAGGTACTTTACATTTAACACAATTACTGATTTCTAGATTGGTGATTATATTCTAACACCGGACATCTGCGTTGAAAGGAAATCTATTTCCGATTTGATCGGATCGCTAAATTCTGGGCGACTTTATACCCAATGCACTCAAATGTGTAGAAACTACAGTCGACCTATTTTACTTATTGAATTCGACCAGAATAAACCGTTCAACCTGCAGGTACATATCTACTTATATATTGCAAAATATTTATACAATTTAATTACATAAACTATGTATGTATGTACTGCCTTGGAATTGTTTTAGGGCCACTTTGTCGTATCGACAGACATATCCGGAGCAGACATACAGCAAAAGCTACAACTGCTGACCATACATTTCCCTCGTTTGAAGCTCGTGTGGTCACCCAGCCCATATGCTACTGCAGAATTGTTTTATGAACTAAAAGTATGTACTTAGGTAAATTTGTTTGAAATGTTTTGTTGGTTAGAGATATCTTGGCCAATTGACAATAATTTAAAGGTATCAGTTACTTGTTTTCTCTGTCACAGCAAGGAAGAAAAAATCCTAATGTCGAAGAAGCCCTCGCGCTAAGCGGTGATAATACCGCGGAGGACATGCATTATGAGCGCTACAATATTTTAGTTCACGATTTCGTGCAAAAGTTGCCCGGAGTCAGTTCAAAGAACATAGCCAGAATCATGGACCGAGGCATATCACTGGATCATCTCATTACACTTACTCAAGTATGTATTTGATGAGAAGTATTCATGGCCGTGCTAATAACCAATTTAAATAGTTGTTATAGCTAATGTTGCTAATGTTTACCACGTTTCTTACAGGATGAGCTGCAAGCTATCATCGAGAACAAAAATGAAGCATCAACTTTATATTCCATACTACATGTGAAGCCTAGTCCTGCAGATGCCAATAAAGATGAGAAATATGGAAAAAAGAAATTTATGGGGAGAAAATTTCCGAATAAAAGAAAATAGGTAAATTGGTAAAATAATAATTTATTTTGAAACCATAGAATATAATGTATGTAATGCTGTTAAAAATACAATAATTTATTTTGGATGATATAGTATTTATTTTTCTACTTTGTAAGTAGGTGCAGAGTAGGTACTAGGTACACTTACGATCAATAATAAAATGGGCACACTGGGAAATAATATCAACGCCAACGACCTAAAACAAAGTTACAGTTGTCGTTTTTAACAATTTAAACTCATTATACGTGTTCTTTCTTAGATTCCAAGATTGATATACCTATGTAAGACAAACTGATGATCTTTCTTTCAGCAGAATAACATATTGCAATCAAACAATTTGACATTTTGAAACCCCTGCAAAGAACAGTCTGTCTCCTTATTCTTCACAAGCCTAATTCAACAGCTAAATTTAAAAACAAATATACAAAAATAAATATGGATACTACTAGTCATGGTTTTTTTAAAAACCTAAACATATTAAATAATGTCTTCATTTGACCTGAAATCAAACATACTATTGTACTGTATTTATAGTTAACTTTTATGGCTGGCAGTTTTTATTAAAATAATGTATTTAATTTAGCTTGATATATGTATTTAGTTGAAAAATTTTAATATACTGTGAGAAACTCTTCCATACCAAGCTTATTAACAGATGTATAATAACAAAGTATGCAATAAATTTTTAGTTACTAGTTAATTTCATAGTTTCCACTTGAAACGCGTAATAGGAAATTGTCGACGATCGAGCCGATCGATCAAGTGATATAATAGTAAGTAAATACCTTAATTTTAAAAACCAATTATTTATATTAACACATTCAGTGCCCCCGACGCGTATGTGCGTTTCCTCGCACGCACATACGCGTCGGGGGCACTGAATGTGTTAAACAGTATTTTTTTTTAATTTTGATGAATCAATTAGTTGTGTTGGTAGCAATAATAACTGTTCACGAAATAAACAATAACTAACCAACTTATAGACATCACTTACGATATTGATGATCTTTATCAGTCAAGGGTACATAGATCACACTCATTAGTTTTTTTACAGTGGTGGTACCATCAGCTGCCTTGTCAACCTGAATAAAATACAAAACAATAATTTATTACAGTTTTAAAGGAGTTTCGATGGGTTTTATAATCAGAATTAATTGTTAATTCGTCAAGTGCAAGGGTATTAATTTCAGCTTTCTGAAAATGATTATTTTAACTCAGTAGATGCACTTTCGATTCAAGACTCTGTGAATAGTGCACAGTCTTGAATTTTATCCCGTGCATGGCAATAGGTTCTCTCTTTAACATGGGACTAATTTACTCAAAACTGATGAAAAGTATTAAAATATTTGCACTTCTGTTTCCCTTTTATATTAAATGGTGTGTTGTTTATTAGTTTTTGCTATTTAATTTTAAAAATTACCTACCTGGGTTAAATGCTGCTCTCCTCCCTCAGGCCCTACTGGTACAATAAGTCTACCGCCAGGTTTCAGCTGATCAACTAGCTGGAAATTGAAATTAGCAATTTTATTAAATTTTAATTTTAGCTTACTTAGCCAATAGTGTAGGAATTTCTCATGTGGTGTAGGTGTGTTTACAAACGTACAATTTCGCACACATCACACTTAGAACCGGAACAATCACAGAAAACAATAGCAGTTTAGTATGGATGTTTCATTCAAGTAAAAAGTATGGAATGGAATTTAAAGAATTTAGATACAGAGGCCGATTATAGGCTGGAACTGCAGACTAAGGGTCATTTCCATTCATCCACACTGTGAAAACATTATGTATTTACTTAGCTTCATTACTTTAGTAAGGCTTTTCACATTTTAATTTTACACATTCATAGGTATTGTATCAACATCAGTTCAAATACAATTAATATGCAATATGTCGGCAAATGAGCAGACTGATTACCTGATGGTAAGCAATCACCCCGCCTATGAACACCCGCAACGAAGGGTTTTGGAGATTTAGGGATCGGGGGAGGGGAATTGGATTGGGCCTCCGGTAACCTCACTCACACGGCGAAACAACGCTGTGGTTGTTTCACGTCGGTTTTCTGTGAGGCCGTGGTATCACTCCGGTCCAACCACTTATAAAATGATTTAAAATTACAATCGCCTGAATATACTCAACTATTATAACTGCACCCTGTCAATCCTCCAAAAAAAGATAGTTTTTGCTTATCAGTTTTGACGACGCTTTTGGGATTGAACAGTAGCAAGCATATAATATTTTCAAAGTTATTTTTATTATATAAGGTAATCTAAGTACCTACACGTGAGTAACGTGAGATGAGGGGGTGTGGACGACTGGAAATCATGATTGTGTTCTATAAGTCCACAGTGTAGACGGACAGAACACAACACTCCCGGTCGTTTCAGCCGGGGTTGCGGGGTAAGCGCAATGAGGCACCGCGACCTCTGCCCAGAGCAGGAGAAGGAGAAGGAACAGGGGGGGTTTTTAGTCAGTAAGAGTCTGACACTCCCTGCCGCCCGGCCCTGGGCGGGCGAAATCATTTGATGATTTTCCCCTCACAAAAAAAAGCTCTCCCAGTCGTCGCAGTGTGGACGTAAGGGATTGACCCCAGACTAAACTACTGGTAATAACTACTTACACTGGTCATTAAAAAAAATGGCCCACTTACATTTTGTTTTATATTCATCGATTGTTTCACACTTAAGCTGTTTTACACAGTTGTTTTTTATTTTAACGGTCAGTTATGATGTTTCACATCCTGTTTGTCATAAGTCTTATTGCACTTGAAGGTACTTATCAAATGTTCATACTGAAATAATGTTGAGTGTTGATTTACATGGTTTAGGTCGGGACAAATTCGACCTGTGTTCGCAGTCCGAAACAGACTTTACCAAGGAACTTGTTAATTACGTTAAGTTCATTTACTGAGGCTTTAATTCTGATTAATTTTGTCTAAAATCAATGAACACTACTGAAGCTAAGGCGGCCCAAGTTGTAGCTTTGTTGCACAAGGCTTAAGCCAACGTGTCGTTGCCAGAAGGTTAACTCAGCCGTTCAGCAGTTCAGAATGACGAAATCGACACCTTTCTGGTGTTGATCGCCAGCGACGCTTACGTGAAGATCAGGGTATGGCTATAAGTGTCAGTACTGTAAGAAGGAGACTTCGTGAGCAGAATTTAAGAGCACACAAGCCAGCAACGAGACCACAATTGACCTCAGCTCATTTACAAGCCAGACTTCAATTTGCACGGAATCACGTCAACTGGACTATAGGCCAATGGGGGTCAGTTTTTCTTAAGTGATTATGGAAGACCATGTAGTGCCATATGCCATATGGGAGACCTGGAAACCGCCATCAGGGAAGTATGGCCCGAATTCCTCAAGAAGCGATAAATATCTTAATAACGGCGAATGCAGGCCGCATTCGCCGTTCTATAGATCCTATTGTCATTCGAGCAAGAGGAGGGAATACAGAGTATTAAGTTACTTGTGGCCATATTTAAGGATTAAGAAATAAGTACAGTGTTTTTAAAATTAATTAAAAAATCATGTAAAATAATAGATTTTTGTTTTTTAAACAAAATGGTTTTTTTATAATTAATTGGTGTAAATAATCAACTTTAATCAAACATGTCAAAAACAATAGTTTGTTTCACTTAAGAAAAAAAATTATCTCTCATAAAAATGCAGGTGGGCCGATTTTTTTGATGACCAGTGTAGAATACAGGTTATAATTTTCATAATAAATTTGATGAAATTTATTCTATGTGAGTCAGTTTATAATGAAATTGACTATTATTTAGTTATAAATATGAGAATATTAAACCAATATAAATGTATTTAATATAATTCACAACTTACTGCTTGTGGCAACATAGGAGCCGCTGCTCCTACATGGATAGCATTGTAGGGTCCTTCTGAGGGATATCCTAGGCGTCCATCACCAACTAACAGAAAACAAGGATATTATTTTATAAAACTATACACAAACAACAGTTTAGAGTGTAAACAAATGACATAAAGTGCCTTCATAGCATCTTATGTGAAATAGACTAGTATAATATGCAACATCTTTAGCCTTATTTACAGGGATGTGATGCAGGCATTCGATGTACATATCAAATGTTACTTTTGCAAGCAATGACACACCCTGCTACTACAATGTATAATCGGCGTACGGCGCGCCGCATCTCCGTAAACATTAAAATCTGGCCTACATTAAAATGAAACTTACCAATCAATTTAATTCTTTCAGAAGTAAGTAGTTCTGGGTTATCTGCTTGGATATTTTTAGTAGCTAATGCCACTAACTCAGATATATGCTCTATACCAACAACTCTTCCTGTTTCTCCAACCATTATAGCCATACAAGCCGTTAGGTATCCAGATCCAGATCCCACATCTAATGCTTTTTCACCTGGGATCAGTTGTTTCTTTAGCCTTTCTAGTGCATGGGCATGCTAAAATAATCCGTTTTTAATTTTTAATTAGAATTTATAAAATGTTTTCATACTGGATTTGTTTAATATAAAACAATTCAGTTTACCATATGTGGAGCACTAATTGTTGCCGAGTATCCAATAGTTTGAGGTGAATCATGATATGGTGCATAAGGACAATAATTCTTCCGGTCAACAGATAGCATAGCATTTGCAACTGTATCAGATTTTATAATGCCATTGGCTGCAAGCAACATTATTATAAAGCACCACAATTAGCCAGTAAATACATTTTTTCAACTATCTATAAATAATTATCAACACGTCATATAAATATTTTATGAAAACTAAAAATAACTTCAGATCAGCATAACATACATGTTTTAAGTAAATTTATTGTGACTGAGTAACAAACAGTTTAAATAATAAATGTTAAAACATTTTACTTTGACGAATTAATTTTCCTAACAGCTATTTCAAAACTTGTGATCTGTATGCATTATGCAAACAAGCAATTTCATGAATTAAGAAACGTAAGTAAAAATAATAAAAATACATATAAAAAATATTACCTCGTAAATTCCGAATCATATCGGCATTGTTTACCCCATGACTTCGCCAAGCCATGATTATTAAAGGAAAGCTAAATATCAACACAGGAAATGTACGCCATAAATTACCTATTTTGACAAAAACGAAGAATCTATTATTAGATGAAATGCAGTGGTTAATATTCAGCGAAATTTTTATATTCCTTAAATCCTAATGTCAATTGAAGTCTATTTGCAAGTTGTCAACTTGACAACATAGCTCTTATGTACAACAACGGTACAATAGGACTTGTCAATACGGTAGTTTCCAACTAGTCAAATTCAATACTTTTATCCAAACGTCAAAAACGATTCGTTTCTATGTTTGTATGAAAAACTGAGTTATGACGTCATTACATTTTTGCGTCAAATAGCTTACTTATTTCTTAATAATTAGCTAAAAATCTGAAACTTTGTGAATCGAGCGATTGATGAATATAGTGTATAGTTATTTTTCAATATTTTATTTTATTGAAACGTCGAATTACTTTATTTTGAACTAGGAAACTACCTACAATCATGGTCGCTGGTTGAAAACATGAAAAACAACTTAGCGGCTGAATATTGTCGTTATCAATGTTGAGCTTACGTTACCCACAACCATAAAATACAATAATAAATTGGCATAACTGTTTGAATAACATTTTAAATAACTATATTAATACACAAATTATCTGTATTTCGAAAAAAAAAAACTGTTTGCCTTACCATCAATCGACATCGTTTCTAAAATAATTTTATCAATTCGTACCCAAACTTTCACTTAGCATCTGCACATTTTTTAAAAGCAGTGTAACTGTGCAGATGCAAGGTTGCAAATGAAACAACTTCGTGTTATATAAAATGTATCCGTACTCACTGCAATATTAGTGCATATTTCATAAACATACCAGAAACCGGTGTTTCTGTGTGCAATAGTTGTCATTTATGTGAATTTGTGATAATGGTATTCTTAATGTATCGATAGTCACAGACTTATGTGTGGGCTAAACTCCAAAGATCCCTTGATTTATTTATTCTTTCGTGATTTACTTTCCAGACCACACCAAAGAAGTAATGATGTTATTAGATGTTGTTGAAAAAAGTTGTGACACGACAAACCCAGTAGATTTTAAGAAATTAATGATTAAACGTAGATAAAAATTTATGTATACTGTATTCGTAAAATTTATGCATTTATTATATAAGGAACGCCAGCTGTTTACACAATTTAGAGTTATTCATGTCAGGGACTGTCCATTTTGAATTTTTCCATTTTTCAGGTGCCGGCAGTGGGTGAAAGTTGTTGGCAAAGAAGATTTAGTGTATGTGCCCATAGAACCAATTTACTGAACCAATTAAGTATTAGAGTCCACTTAATTTAAATAATTTTAGTTAGGTCCTTAACACACCGTCCGTATATAACATGAATTTGAATATTATTACAAAAATATATTTTTTAGTTTTTAATATAACACAATGTTTTATTTCAAATCCGAACTTTATCTTAAAGATCGAATATAAAAATTAAAAAAGTAATATGACCTCGATTTCTACCCTATAAATATTATCGATATCGATACTAAACCTAGTATACAGCTACCACAGAACTATTTGGTCTTTTAGGTTGGTACTATTGATTTTGACGGCTGACATCTTTTATTTATTGCAATGTAGGTATTAGAGTGCCGTGTAAATTGATTCCACTGGCTTGTATGGGAGTCCCGTCTCTTAAACGTAGTGGTTACATACTCTTTGTTATTGCTGGCCAGATTAGTTATTTACTACATTATTTGTAACGGATTTTAATTGACTTTGGTCAGCACTTAATAATCTCCGTATTACGAAAAATCCTAATATTTTAACTTGCTTGTTGCACAAGTCGTGCAAAACCGATAAAGAGTACCTATGTAACCACTACGTTTGAAAATATATTCCAATAATAGTGTAAGGAACCAGTGTAACGAATTATGAGGGTTAGAGAGGGACATATGTTTGTCTGATTAATAACTTTAGAATGGCTCCGGGAAACAGGAAAAGTGTGGCGTGGGAGTTTTTTTCGAAAATAGACAATAATACTAAAGTACAATGCAATTTGTGTTCTAGTCAATACAAATTTAGTGGAAATATGAGTACCTTAGTGAACCACCTAAGAAAAACACATTATACAATATAGTGAAGCTGTTGGCCCAATCTTACAACTTTCAATAACATTAAAGTCTGACAAACTTATTTTATTTGACTATCATTAGCATGGACTCGACCCCACACAGCCCGTCGGGCTCGACAAGCAAACTAGCAACCCGCAGAACGATGCACCGAGTCGAGCGTTTACTGACTCGAACGGACAACCCGGACAACGCGACGTATCTTATGGCAGATCGGGTCGAGTCAACTCGAGTTGCAGCCCGAGTTGGTTATCAGGTCAACTCGAGTTACTCGAGTTATCAAAAAGACGACTCGGCCCATCAGTAACTAAGACTAATTCCTCCTTACATTATGTATTTCACGTAGTGCTTATATTCTCTTTGGTATGTATGCAACTGACAATTAAAGTAAATTGTCAAATCGTGTGATAAATTGTGAGTTTACTCGAAAGTGTTTTAATTTATTCCTCAAAAAAATATTTACCTACAAATTAAGAAGGACTAAGTACTTACATTTAGATATCGATAACACATTAAAATCATAGGACTTAGTTAACGAATCAATATTAAAACCGAAGATGGTGTGTGATGGTCCCGATCCTCCAGAAAACAACCCTCACGAAATTGTTCCACCTCCTAGGAATGAATTGATAATGAATGGTAATCATGGGGATGACAGTGATGATGAACATGAATATTTTGGCTATGAACCTTTAGCCCAAGGTCCAGAACTAGCAGTCTCAGATCATGATAGTGATGATGACCCAGAGGTAGATTTTAATTTGTTCACTATTATTATTTACAATACTACTGATGATAGCAATTATCGAGAAGTTCTTTGTTTTTCAAGTTTTCTTGTATTTTATGTAATATATTAAGATGAATCTTGTTTTGGTGTAGAGTGCCGAATCACCTCCAGCTGATGTGCCAAGTATAGAACCAATGGAAGATGTACTGAGCAGGGAAGTTTGGAGTGCTCCAAGACATACAGATGCTATACAAATGGATAATGAGCGGGCTCAACAGGTGACATATAACCTAATCAAATTGTCTTTAAAACATGTTGTTGTACGCCTTTGGTAAAAATGTTGTTAATTGATTTTAGGTGATGAGAGCTATGGCAAATTTTGCCTTGCCCCAGGCCTCAATTCCAGAATGGGCTCAGAGCATCTCTGAAGAACAATGGAAACAAACTCTCAATGAACAAATTGAAAGATTAAAAAATAAAAGATAAACAATTTAGTATAGTGTAATTAACATTTAAGTAATAAAGATAAAAATTATAATTCTTATGTTTAAAAAATGTATATAAACTATAGACTTTAAGCTTATTATAGGTACTTTGCTAAGACATGTATTTGTTGTTTGGCTATATTGTCCAATATAGATTCAATTTTAAAGGTTTTATGTGATTATTTAGTTGGATCAAATATAACAGCACTAAAGGTCACTAGTTTGGTTCTTTCATTTCTAATGAAAATATAAAAAGGGGAATCTGCATAGAAAGTTTCTGCCGACCGAGTTAATGTTCCACTTGTCGCTGCTACTGCTTCTGTACCAAACTCTGAAACAATATATTTTAATTGTAAAAAAAACTAATATAATTTACGACAAATGTGACAATACTCTAATAGGGAATTCACAACCCATACATTTTGACTCAAATCAAATCAATCAAATCAAATTCTTTATTGCAAGTAGACCACAATAGGCACTTTTGAACATCAAGCAAAAAAGATATCATAAGGTTTAACTTTATATGTGTCAGTCTGTCCTCTAGTGAAGCTATTTGCTTGTTCCAAAGTGTAGATTCCTATGGAGAAGAACGAGCAAGAAACTCCATGGTTACTCTTTTTCAATCACCTTATTATGACTATATTTGAAAATCTATATATGAAAAATAAATTAGATTTCAGAGTGATGTATGAACCTTATCAATATTGTAGTGGTATTACCACATGGAATTACCTTTGATGAGATTCTAAACAGGATATGAATTTGAAACCAAATACAAAACATAAATAGAATAAAGTTAATACTTTACCTATATGATGTAATACATACCATTAATTGTTAACTTTACATCATGAATTATGGAATCTACATGTATTCCAGGATTAGGGAGATTGTCCAAGATGTTTGTATTCTCCACATGTTTATCTGATTGCTCTTTGGGTTTATTGGTTAACTGATCAGTGTGATTCACCATGAGTGCAAAATTAGCTTTGCCTGGTATAAACATACTTTGTAACCCAATGGATTGCAAGGTGCCCTCTAGTTTTGTGGTGCTTTTAATTTTCATTTTAGGGAAACGAATAACACAATTTTTGATATCCATCTCATTGATTGTTTCATCAATAACTTTGTTGTTAATCTTTTCCATGAGGTCCAACAGTGTTAATTGTTTGTAAGATATTGGTTTTAAAGCATACATAACAGTTTCACTATCGTTATAAGGTAATGCTATCATGTGGAAATCTGAAAACAAAGGTTTGAATTACAAACAGTTTAAAATGATTGCCCTTAGGATCTTCTTAGGATAAACTGGCACATACAAATTGGAATACACATAATACCCAGACCTGAAATAATACTTTGTAGATCACACAAAAAAACAAGCAAAAGCAAAAAAATACTGGGGTATAAAATTCTTAACAAAAAAAAAACAATTAAGCAAACACTGAACACAGGAGGTAGCTACTGTTACCCGTTGAGGCTTCGCTATCGCACTATTTAATCACTTGATGACAATTTAAACACATTTATGTGTAAAGTTCTCATCAATACAAATTAATCAAGCCCAAACGAATCAACGACGTCATTGCGGTAAACCCTCGAGGAGTTCTTTCGACTGGTTTCCGGCTCGATCATAAGTTCACCTTCAGATCTTCATAAAATTATAATGCTTTAAAATACTTATCTACTTAATCAATAAATGAGCAAATATACTAATCTCCTTCCATTTTCTTGGGACCCATAATTAAAGCCTGATTTGGACAATGGAACCTCAATGAAATTATAAATTCGAATAAAATAATTAATAAAAATAATTTTGTATGAAAGCGAAGTTATGCCTGAAAAACAAAAGCTTATAAGGGACTGTAGCAACTTTGCAGCCAAATTATTACAGACCAGGGCCAGTAGGCACTAGGGCAGTGCGAGCGTTGTGCTTTTTTTGTGAGGGAAAAAACAAATGACTTTCACGCCCAGGGCCGGGCGGGAGGGAGTGTCAGACTCTTACTGACTAAAGCCCGGGCCGGGTTTTACCACCGGTCGCTATCTTGCGGTGGATGCGCCGAAACTTACTTAGACAAACAAAAGACGCCTGCTTCATTTTTTAAAGGATCGGCACTACAAAAATACGTTAAGAAAATAACTAAGAATTGTAAGACTTAGGTACTGACCATGTTCCTCAGAAACTTTATAACGAAACTCTCCGAAATTCAGCATCATGTCAGCCATAACTTCATCTGTTACCCTTTTGAATTCCATCCTGTAAATAATTATAACGATTACACTAAAGAGGTATCTCTGTTAGTCTGTTTACTATTAGGTGTTTTAAAAATATCCAACTTCTTATCTGAAGATATGTCAGTCAGTATATCTACAAAATAATGTTTTTTTGCGGGGGAATGTCGTCGAATCGGTCGATACAGTCAGCCTCTTACCCACTGATTAAACATAACTACCCCGTTCCATGTTCTCTGAGCCGGGCCGCGATTTTTTAACTACTAGCTTTTGCCAGCGACTTCGTTCGCGTGGAATAGTGACTTCTTGCAGGTTTAAGGTATAAAAACTATCCTATGTCCTTTCTCGAGTTCCAAACAACGTTTGTACCAAATTTCACCGAAATCGGTTCAATAGTTAAGGCCTGAACAAAACACAGACAGACAGAGTTACTTTTGAATTTATAATATTAGTTTGGATTGCCCTTGTGGCCAATTCTGGAAGATACACTAGGTAAATAAAGTCTTATTGAATTCTAAAATCGTAAAACTTACTTTCTGGTGTATTGCGGTGCAAAAGGTTGTTTCCATCTGCCACTAAAGTACAACGCAGTTAAAAGTACAACTTTGGTATGGGGAGGTAGAGAGTCTTTCAGAAATTCATCTATATTTCCCTCTGTGTGTTTACTAACCCACCTAAAAATTAAGACTGGTTAATAATTTAATTTGCACAATAGTCTAGGTACTTATGTATTAGTAGGTACATAAGCATATGTATAGGTAACCATCAGGTAATCCGACAGCTTATTTGCCGTCCTATCACATTAAAAAACCTAGGTAAATACAAATAAGGTATATAAGGTACGGTTAGGTAGGTAAGTCAAGATTTGCATTTTGAAACTCACTCATTAATACTGTTCTTAGATTCTTCGGTTTCTTGGAAGTCAGTACGTAATACATCGCCTCCGTAAACACCATGCAGATACGTTCTGTATAGCTCTCGTAGTTTTACTTGGTTGTCCACAAATATAGCGTCAGCGTACAAAGTTTTAGAAAAATCGTTCTTATTTAAGCTTTGCAATAATCCGCCAAACTGTTCGTGGTTTTTGCGGTTTTGTAGAATATCTGTAAATTGTTAAGACTCTTTGTAAATTTATGGCCTCATACATAACTCCACTCTTAAACAAAGTTAGTGTCTGTCTGACTTGTCGATAGAAAAAGATACATTGTTTGAGATCTCTCCATTTCCACATACACACAGGCACATTGAGATACCTACATATAATTACAGGTATTGCATTTGCATATATCACATATATAGGTATAGGTTTTCTCCAGAAAATCTATATGGTGTACCTATATCAAGGTAGGTACTAACTGCTTCCTTTTTTTGTCGTGCGTCCGCGGTATCAATGTAGATGCAACATAAGAAAATCGGTAATAAAAGATATTTATTATAAAAAATACCTACAAATACCTACGTACGTAATTAGGTACGAATGTGTATACTTATTAAAAAAGATTTGTAAACTTAATCTAACGTGACAAATTTCACACCTTCACCATGATTGGTAGGTAAAACCTTCATGGGTAAAACGAAACATAAAGCGCACGCAAGCAAGCTTTGCGTAACAACTTTGTACCTTGGGAAAATCCGAGGGTCTCTGCGATTTCATCATGTGTCATCCCAACACTTCCGAGTAATGTCATGGCAAGTAGGCCTGAAATAGTGATTGATCATTAACACTAATATGAAACCCATTAAATTTACGCTTAATTATACGTAGGTAGTCAATGTTATATACTAAACTAGGAAAAGCTACCTAACATCTAGATACCTAAAGTAAGACCTAATAAGTTAGGTATGTAAGTTTCACACTCGTTAAAGTTAAAGTAGGTACATATGTACATTATGGATTTGACGGCCTATGGCCATGGCTTCCTCAGTGTCTTCATACTTGCAAATACCTTGGGTTTTACTTATAAGTACCTATAAATAGCTTCATTCTATAAATAGCAGCATGATCTCCGGAAAGGCGGCGAACCTCCTTGCCGGATCACCGCCATGGGATGTGGAAGCGAAGGCGCTCGCACGCGTTCACAGTTTGCGCCCAAACGCGCGTCCACAGTTTGCGCGCAAACGCGCGTCGCCGGGGCAAGAATGCTCTCCCACGCCAAATTAGTGCGTGTGTGTGCGGAATGAGTTCCGGCGCGATCTCATTGCAGAGTGGAAGGAAGCAACGTTTGTAGCAACCGAAGGCCGCGCGGCCGGGCACTCTGTAATAGTAGCGGTAAGAACCCTCTTTGAGGAGTGGCTTGGGTGACGCCACGGCGTCCTCACCTTCCGCCTGACGCAGATGCTTACCGGGCACAGCAGCTTCGGTAGGTTCCTGTTTCGGATCCAGCGGGAGAAAACAACCGAGTGTCGTCATTGTGTGGACCTCCTAGAGGAAACGAAGAAGCATACGGTGGTGGTGTGCCCTGCTTGGGCAGAGTACCCGCCGTACGTGTTATCAGGGAAGTGATCGACGGCGGCGACCTCTCGCGCCCGGCCTTAGTCGAGGCCATGGTGCGGATCGAGAGAAACTGGGATGCCAAGATGGCGGCAATAGAAGGAACGGGGGAGGGGGGTTAGTCAGTAAGAGTCTGACACTCCCTCCCGCACCACTTTGGGCGGCAGAAGTAATTTCATGATTTTTCCCCTCACCAAAAATAAACCTTGATATTTTTCTAGTGCCTAGGTAAAAAATTACCGCGTAATCTTCTCCAAGAATACAACTCTGTTGTTTTGTGGTTGGTAAAAATATGCACGTCCGTATAAAAACTAGGTAAGTAACCATGCAGGTACCTACTTTAGCTTTAAGCTTTAGATTCACAAAACATGAAACAAAAGTTGATAAATGAATTAGTGACAGTTGAATGATTATCTAGGTTTTGTACTTCGATTGTCTTTCAAACGACACTTAACATTACTTTTTAGTGAGACGTAAGTCATTAGTTAGTGGTTCATATAAAAAACAAGCCATATCCGGGTGGTGTGACTGGCTGGTCTCACGTATTCTACAATTCTATTTATTAAATAGGTTGGCTTTTTACTGTCGTAAATGTACCTATTAGCAGAACTAGGTAAGTAGGTAAGTACTAAATTTGTCTCTGCCGACAAAAATGTTTAAGTAGATAGGTACTTAAAGATCATGATAAAATATAAACACACACTAACGCTAAAAAATGTCGACATGTACCTAACTACAACATAAAAATAAAATGTTTTGACTTACCAGCGACACCTATTGGGGATATTACGATGTTTTCGTTTTCCCTTTCCTTCATCATTTTGACTAGTAAATTGAATCCAAAATTATTGATAGCATTTGGTATTGAGTTATCTTCTATATTTGTTGCACCCAAGTTATCATTTTCAACATAGGTGGTAGGTATGACCGTGCTTCAAAATTGAAAAATATATATTTGACTTTACGGTATTTAATATTTTAATACTTATCAGGGCCGGCGTAAGGGCCACTAACACCCCGGGCGAAACTATATTGGCGCCCACTTCAGGAAAGCAATATCAAGTGTTAGTTTTTGGCTGATCGTATTGATATCGTTAGAGTTACTCCTCGACCACAAATTAACCCTCAAAAAATCTATCTAAAAAAATATGCATTTGGACAGAGCGTAGAGCACAGTTCTGAGGGTTTGCACCAAGAAAGGCAAGAGACCCCAACTTCAGGCCTTGGCGCCCTCCGGAATTGGTCGCCCTGAGCCATCGCCCCATCTCGCCTAACGCCGGCACTGACTTATGTGTTTGTTGATATCTATAATGTTTGTATTTAAATCCAATCACTGCCGGTAAATAACAACAGTGAACCTGGGACTCTGGAGCTTGCAACATATCTGTCGCAACATAAATATTGCATCAAGACAAATTGATCATTCTATGATGCGAATAACAGATGAGATTTTCTTAATCTGATTTTATTTGTTCTATACAAACCTTGAAATCAGGCTGTCCACTGCATTTTGTCTAGAAGATTGAAAATATAATGTTGTTACGAATAAAAATAACAACGATTTATTATCCATGTTCTGAAAATACATGAAATCATTTAGTTTAGATCCCAACTGTATAGGTACATTATGTACCTATAGGTACCTACCTACCTGAGTCATTCGATTTTAACTAGGTGTAGATCGTGGTGTAGATACTACCTACAGATACATCACTATGTGTAGATATATTAAGTAGATAACTAACTAAATAAAAGCAGGTAGGTACCTGTATTCTTAAATTTAAATGTCAAATTATCGCTTATTCACAAATCGATCGACGAGTGTACAAGACAGTAAACAAATAAAACCACAGTTTCGCACACATGGACGTGTATTGACCTGGCAACTTGCAGAGATACTAATGTATTAATGTGACACAAATTTAGATTATTTAATTCGTGATAATGTAGGTAGAGCTACGTAGACATTAACAAAACTAAGTTGTTTACAAGTAATATAATAATATGGACGTTAAAGTTGAAAGTTGCAGGTAATCAGGTACTACAACATGTTTATATTTACACAAATAAATTTTAGGAAAAATAAACTAAGTATGATTTAAATTTTTACGCAAGCTTTATTATCAGTTATATACAATAAGTATAAAGTCTAAAACCATAAAAAGCGGCAACTTTTTTAAAACGGCTAGGTCTTTATCCCCAACAGGTGTGGTCTTCATAAGCGAAAATGCAATCGTAACTTGCATGCATTCGGCTATTTGTTAAAAATAGCAGGTAATTTAATAGTCGTATCAAACAAATAAGAAATAAATTATTGTTAGTATTAAAAAAGTATGAAACTAGCTACTCACATGATGATTAAGTAAATGTTTTACGTTAACTTTTTAGCAGTAACAGGTTTCTATTATTTCCTACTAAAATCTTTAATTCACGACATTGACACTATACACGTCTACTCGTTTGACCAACTCTGGGAGCAACTAAATACAACCTTGTGCGTATGAATAACGAACTAAAATGATTCACTCGTGGAGGCCAAACAAAAGGCCTAGGTTATCGCGGCGTTAACTTTTAACCCTCACCTGTATTATCACAATTTATTTTTGAGTATTTTTCATACTGTATGAATTATTTTCACGTAAGTTTTTTCAGACCTACTTTTCAAAAAGCTCTCTGTAAAGTAGATACGTGTCATCTTGCGGTTATTTCCCGACTTCCAATGGATTGACTACTTATCTTCTTTTCTTGGAACCTTCTACTAGTTATTTTTATTTCACAACAAATTTATTATTTTGACAAATGAAATAACTAGTATTATACGGATGAGCTAAGATATTAGTCTAGGCATCAGTCGGGGAGTTGGTTACCTATAATGTGATCGCTCGCATCGATCCAGTTCTTTCGGAGATGCCTAGGCAGCTTGTTTGAAAGAAGGGCTGGATGGGCTGGAGCGCGAGAAAATATATTAGTTTGTAAGTATATGGTACCTACATACAGGACAGGAGTGAGGAAGGGAGGGAAAGAGTAATTTCCTATGTTTCAGCCTTTCTCAGGTCGCTGAGGGGGTCAGATATGTAATTTCACTTGGACGAAAATAATTAAAAAAAAGATTGAATTTTATCAGAGAACACTGTCCGTCAAATGTGAAGTCGGTTCTTATAATATTCACGGGAATAGTGAATCTTGTACCCATATGAATAAAAACGAATTTCTGTCCTTTAGTCTTGCTAAAATTTGGGAACGGCTGGTCCGATTTCGCTAAATCTGGTACCTATTTAAATAAATGAAGGTCAGGGAAGGTGTGGTCAGAAGGCATTAGTAACATTCGAGGGGGTACGGAGTTTGCCGGATAAACTAGTAACAAACAATTTATGTATTGACTTAAAAATACAGGTCATCATCAACATCAGTTCAGATCACCGAGATGATGTAAGCTTGCTCAAGCTTTCGAACTTATACATGTGATTGTCCAATCCAGATAGCTTCACGATATTGGCCTTCACTGTCTCTCAATTTATTGTAAATCACAATATTTAGAGCATATAATTATTATGTAGATACTTACCTTCTGTAATCGGAAAAGTCACATCGGTACTTGTCAGGTAAATTACCAAAAAAAGCGCCGGATTCTGGTAGTCCAGGCCATCACCATCAGAAAATATGGACATTTCCTATACACGTTACCCAAAACGCAATATATATATGGATGTAGTATAAGAGCTATGCTCAATATCTTTCCTGTCATTTGTACATAAAAATATGGTCCAAGGTATCATGTATTATAGAAAGGTAACTGTTGTTCCCAAACTAGATCAAGCTAATCTCTGTGAAAGTCATAGTAGGTATTAACGAAACCGTATGGCAAGGTAATAATATTTTTACTGTGCGTATGGTGAAAGTAGTTACAAGTAGGATATGGGTTCAATAACGCTTACAATTTTATTTTGTACTAGCTAGCTACTCTCGCGCGGTTTCGGCGATGATAGCGTGCCTTCTTCGATAAATGGACTAACAAACAAAAAAAGAGTCATTCAAATCGAACTAGTAGTTCCAGAGATTAGCGCGTTCAAACACTCTCCAGCTTTATGAAATTAGTGAAGAGGTATCAAAGATCCTGAGAATCCTTAGAAAAAGGCGAACTTTCAATTGCTTTTATGTTGGGATATTAAATGAAACGCTATGATTTCAATCTTTTATAAATATTGGTAAATATAGGTCAAATGTGGTACAGTTAAAATCAGAGGAAATATTTTTATCAATTTCATATCAAAATGGAAACATTCATGCAATATTTTCTACACTTTATCATAATATTGTTTTAATTTCGTAGGTATCATAATATCTGTACCTATATGAACTACACCTTATTAGTTAGTTCGAAAATTGTAAAAATATTAACATGATTTACAACTTGATTCCAAGTTTATGATAGTGAAATAAATAAATCTACCAATGTAAACAAGGAATTAATCACCGCAAAGTTAAATTAAAAAAAAATTTAAGTAGTAGTTATGTATATTCACCCTGTTACTAAATTGGACTTGAAAACTGAAATCAAAAGTTCAAATAAATAAAACACTATGGATAAATGCAATTGAAACTGTGGCAATCAAGTATGATTTTTATTTCAGACTTATAAAATATTTTACCAAATGACTTAATTGAACATTATAATAAGATTTTATAGTTAATCCCGAATTATTTTAAACATATGTGTGTCAAAATAGTAATGACTTACAATTGTGGAAAACCAATTGTTTCATTTTGCATAATGTTTAAAATAACACCTACTAAATCTCATTACAATAAAATGCGATAGAGTGTAGAAAATGGAAATATTCACATTGAACATGCTAAAAACCAATAAAACATGCCACATTCACCACCCCCTGTCTATTACAATGATAAAAATTAGTATCCATATTTTTATAACTATGAATCAACTACAACTTACTAGCAACAATATTAATTACATACAGTTGGTAGAAATTATAGCTAACAGTGTCTCGCAGTGTGCACCTAAACCACTAATCAAGTTAATAAAAGCTAATGTCCACTGGTATCTAAATAAATTTTTTCGTAAACAAATCGAGACTTAGGTGACCATTGTAAGACTGCCTTATTAGAATCTAGTTTAAACTGGATGACAGTGATATTTTTAAATGCTTTCCCGAGATTACAATTTACTATATTATTAAGAGTCCACTAGGTATTTATATTGTGCACTTAAGTAAACGACTGTCTTGATTTAGTAAATAACCTCAGTCTTTTAAAGTTTGAACAAAAATGCATGCATATTAATAAAAACATTTAGTGTTTAAGTTTCAAACATTTTGTTTTATTGGTTTTTAGAGAAATATACAAAGAAAAGAGGTCGATTAAATATACAGACGATCATCATTTACAAACTAATTAATAAGAAATAACCATTTTAATACTTTAAGACATAAATAATAACACATTTTAAACAATTCAACTTGCTTCTTTGACTTAAAATCTCTTATTACTATTTTTGACTACACTAATAGTATAACCAAGTCCGTTATGTTACATTGTTAATTATCCTATACTGACATAATGTAAAGGCGGTAGGCAGACAACTCCTTATCACTAAGGACTCAGAAACAGAGTGAGTAATATAAGCGTCGGAAACGAAAAGGGCTCCTGTAAACACAAATAATTTATTTTGTCGCTGTAAAAAATAAGTTTTTAGTCTGTTATGATTGCAACAGTATTATATGAGATGCAAAAAACATCATCAAGTAAAAAAGTGATGTCATGCAATACTTCAATGTGTTTTGAATTAATCTGGTAGATGAACATTAAAAGACAGTGCTTGTGCATTACAATCACATGAATATACATATATATATCATAACACTCTGATTTTTCAACTAGTTTATTTTAAGAGCCCTATGAAATTAGAATATGAAGTCCTATTAAAATACATACACTACATACACTGAATATGCTGAATCACACCACAACATTAAATAACCCGATAAAGTTAGAGAGATCTCTTGTGTATAAATATATTTTAAATTTTCATAATGGAAAACTTTTCTACACATAATATTTGACTACAAGTACCATAAGGTATGATTGACATTTTATTGCTAATGTTAACAGGTTAATGATCTCTGTAAAATTATCAGGTTAATAACACAATTTTGGACTACATTATCACAACATACATATAAATAGCTACATAAACATAACACACACACAGATTATTCTATTAATTAATATGGTGACTTTCAACTAGCATAACTTAATATTGAATTGATCAGTCTTAAAATTCATATGGTTTCACGGACAAGACAAGACTATAGCATTATGAATTCTGCAATGTGTTGTACTTGTTCATCCACTCTGTTACTGAGTCAAACTTAAAATACATTCAAAACTTACAAATGAAAAATATTAACAAAAGAGCACAGCATTTTACATTTTTAACAAAAAATGTCAGCACATTAAAGCAAATGTTAACTAATCACTGTAAGTATATTATTATATATAACCTAAGTCACAGGAAAAGGTAAGAACTGTGAACCTTAACTCTTACAAAGTAAAAGTGAAACATGATTGTTCACTTTAATTTTTTAAATCCCAAAGGTAGATTAAATCCTCACCCATTTGGTAGAGTAGAACAATAACTGTAATTCAAATATATATATATATAACTTGATTGAAAATCAGTGTCAAAGTTTATTTAGATCAAATGCCTGGTTCATACATTATATTAATAAATTATTTTATCTCACTTGTGACAGATAAAAACCTGCTAAGTGTAAAAAATGAAACAATCTGTAAAATGGGATGTTTAGTAACACATTGTCACTTGTTGTCAACTACACTATCTATCTATAAATCCTAACTGATTAAGACCTAAAAGTAGTTTCAATTAAAGAATGCTTATATAAAGCAATACATAATTATACTAATCAGTTAAATTGAATACAATTAATACATCATTAACTTGTGTTCCAATCAACTATATCTTCTGCAGTATTCTGCATGAGATATTCTCAAGGAATTCAGTGAGAATTCAACAACATGGAATGCTCTAAAATTTCTGTATCTATAATTTAGGGATTGCTGCGTAAAGCGCCTATAATTCACTAATGTCACATATTAAAATACGCTTTAAACTGGGCATTCTATCTAACATAACCAAAAAAGCAGCAACACTGGATAAATATTAGTCAATACATTATAATTATTATAGATTCTATATGAACTTTTCAATAATTAAATGTTGAATGATTTTTTTCTACTATCTTGAATTTCGAGTATCTTGTCACAAAGAATTTCTTTAATATAATTGGCACACCAACATATTGTTGATGAGAGTCAAATTTAGAGACTAATCCAAAAAACATTATTTTAACTATGCACCTACAAATTATACATCATGTGACTTTATCATACATTCATTAAAATAGTATCGAGATTTAATATTAAATTAATTAATAACTGAGTAAGTCAAAACTTTTTTATAGCCGCATGCCTGCTGCATACCCTGAAATCTGCCTCAAGCTGGACAAGCTAACAGTGATCATTTCCTTTACCATATTAGTAAATGTAAAATGCTAGACTAGCTCAGTGCAAGGATATTTTCTACATAAGCTAAATGCCTTTCACTAAAGAACAATCCAGTGTTCTTTAGTACTTTACAAGTAAGCCTCCATAATCATTCATATGACCATGTCAATTAGTGGATAGCACAATTTTTATTTTTATTTATTTCCACCTTATAACACAATTATTCCATGTAAAAAAATTTTGTCTTATGGAATTAAATCATATTGGCACGCGGCATGGTGTACTATTATCCTTCATCATCTAATCTTACACAAGTCAGTCAATCCTCTTTCCATCAACACATGCTGCATACAGCCAAATTAACATAAAATTTTATATAATTACATTTGAGACTAAACTAAGCACAGCGCCGATCGGCATACGCGACAACGCATCCAGCTAATTCTACACCACTTATCGATTCGACTTCAATGCGTTATAAAAATAAACAAAGACGCAGACTTATCGATTCGTCACTTTGGAAAAGATTTTTAATAACTAAAAATTTAAAACTATATTCGAGGAGGGTCAGGAGTGCTCGCTAAGCTGAAGCAAATTTACGAGCTTAATGTCCTAAACACGAAAAATGCAATCACGAATGCTTCACAACAATTACACCAGGTCTTGGAGGTGGTGGATGTTCTGCCTTTTTAGTGAGTGCCAGAGGTGCATCACCTGCTTCTTCGCGGAACAAATGATCACCCTCGAGGTGACGAATGGCCTCCACAATAGTTTCCAGGTTCTGTCTACTAGTACTCGCGAGATAGAGTCGTGATGGTGCATCATGAGTTGCATCAGGAAGAACTTCTACTTCAACTCGTGGCTCTGCTTTAATGGCGGCTTCTAGTAGCGGAGCTGCTACAACGGCGGGCTCCGCGGGAGGTGGCTCTACTTCCTCACTTTCCAATTTACATTCTGCAAGGTCAGTTTGTTCAAAATGAATTACAGGACGATTTACTTCATGAGCACCATTTGGGTAAATCTGAGCTTCAAGTGAATGTAGACGCTCTTCCAAGTGCCGTCGAAGTCTCCGTTCACGATCCAGCTGTACTCGTAATTCACCTCCTTCCACTTCTTTTTTCTGTGGGACACTTGTCACAGATATCACAGCCACTGGCTCAGGTGATCTGGATGTTGTTAAGGTATCTTCTGTAGAATCAGGAATTATGGCTGGGACATGACTGATAATATCTCCTTTTCTTTTCTTCAAGGGTATTTCACCACCCTCATGTTGATTTAGTAATCTCTTCAGTTGACAATTCTGAGAAAGAAGTCTCGTCTTTTCTTGTTCCAAGTTGTAAATATATTCAGCTGTCTGCTGTAGTATGGCAGCCTGTAAAATATTTTTAATGTGTTATAAAATATGCATCTACTCAATGTATCTTGATTGTTGTTTAGGTAAATTGCAGTAGACTATTTAAAAGTATCTGATTCATTTTCTTTTTACTATAATCTGATTATGTTCACATAAACATTATATGATGCAGACTGTGCAACATTACTCTTTTTAAAACATTACAAGATTACAACAATAGAATCTCAGAAGAGGCAAAAACTAAAATTCCAGTAACATATAGTAAGAAACAATATCAAAATATATTTTATAGTCTTCTTATATATTTAATGAGTGATAAAAAAAATTAAATATAGGTAAATTTGTAAGAACATATTGAGCTCCTTTAAAGAGTAATTTGGTATGAGAATTAATAATGGTATACAACATACTTTGCTTAGCTTTTCTCCCTCATGACGTGGTAGCAGAGTACGTAGTGCTTGAAAGCCAGCATTAATGCTCTGCATTCGTCGACGTTCATTGCTGTTAGCAATTTCTCTTCGAATCCGCTTTTCAGCCTCCATCGTCTTTCTTCCAGATCCTGGATGCTTATCACTGTGAAGATTGAAACAAAACATTAGCTGAAAATTCGTGCAAAGGTTGTTTTTTTTAATTCAATTTAAAACACAAATGCTTATTAATTTAACATTTGTATCTTAATATAACATTTGTATTTTTCTTAATCTTAATTACTTATGATGGTTAATATTTGTTTTTATTTTTATTAATAGTAGTTTTAGAGGGATATTTTACCTAAAACACCAAAAATGTATGAAAAGAATACCCCTTTTTTACACTTTTTTGGTGTTTAATCATATCTAAAAGTATAATCTTTATGATTATTGACATTTATTACATTCAAATGCTATTAAAATTACAATAAACAAAATTACTGTTATAGCCATAAATGTAATAATTGCTGGAAGACCTGGGTTGGGCAAGTAAATTTTTATAAATTTCCATAGATGTACTATCATAATAAATAAATTGTGTTTTTCTTGCACATCATAATTAATATTATCGAGTTATAACTCCAGAAATTTGTTATTAATAAATATATCTGTTAATAAAAACATGAATGAATGTTTTTACGCTCATGTACATATGTTTGATAGTACATTTGTGTTAGGTGGAGGCGCCTACTACGCCTATTCGATTTGACCAAACATGGCGGCCCAACAGCTGACTACAGGCCGGCACGGGGCGTGAGCGTCATCATATGGCCCGCGTAATCGTAAATTGATAAAGAAATCCAAAAATAACAAAATTCTTACTTAAAAAATACTTAATACATGAATTTTGAAAAGGAAAGCGAATAAGCAAGCATGATTTCGGCGACCACGCCGGTTATCCATACCTGGTTAGAGCGTGATCAGATGCCTCTTCTTCGTATAAGTTATAGTCTTCCACTTCTAGCAAACAAACGTCATTACCGTGTAATGACATAACTTAGGTGCAATAGTTATTGAATATTCATCTAAATATTGAGGGGCACGCACAGAAAATCTTAACAATATAAAACTCACTGGCCACAATGGCGGGAAATGACAATGAGCACAGTCAGGTGACGCTACACAAAATAAAGAACACAGCAGTATAACAACCACAAAATTCACTTTCTAAAACTTTTACACGGAATAATGCAAAGTAGAGACAAATAATTTCAGTAAAATATCCGCAAATAACTTTTAAAAACAGTAATTAGATAGAGGGAGTCAAGGGCAACGCAACATCAATGCTTAGTACACCATAGACTAACTAATTTTTTTAGTAGATGTACTTCATACTAAACAAAAAAACATAGACAATTAATATAAACCACGCCACCACCACTAAAACTGCCAATGGTGAAAGGTATTTTTAATTTTAATTTACAAGTTATAATTCAAACATAACTTGTATTTTTTAATTATCATCTAATAACGTACTTGATAATGATACTAATCTTCTGTTATTTACATAAAAAATATTATACTAATAGAATTGATGTTCGTTAGTCCCGCTGTCCCGCTAAAACTTGAGAAAAGCTGAACCAACATAGCTAATTGTGGCCTTGAAATATTCATGCATATTCATTCAGGGAAGTTTTAAAAGGTACGAAAAGAAATTATAATATTTTAGACGATACGAAGTTTGCTGGGTCAGCTAATTTAGAATAAAACATATTAACACAAAAGTCAGTAAACTTTTTGATTGACGTTCGTATAAGCGTAAGCATGCATGACAGATTGACATTATTTAATAATATGAAGACTTACATCAATGACTTTATTTAATTTTACTTAGAATAAATCAAGCGAAAATAAAACACAAACAAAATCTGAATCTCAAAACGTATATTTACTGAGGACGAATCTGGCATTGCTAGATACTTAACTATTATAAGTACGACTGGTTATATACGGTATGTTACCATGAATACCCACTGTGTAGGTTACTATTCTAAATTGATTACAGTCCGATGGTGATATTAAAATATACCAGGCATTATGTTGCGTATAATACACGTAGAAATACTAGGAATAAATTAAAAGTTTTGTTTTTGTGAAAAATAATCATTTAGGACTTATTTTACTAACAACCTATATTTTACCACCGACTTTAGTGCGGCCCTATTTAGGCAATTTTTTTTTGTGTGTTCTCACAATTTTAGCATTAGTTTGGTATCCTAATGTTTTATAAAAATGAAAATCTTTGTCAATCTTAAAAAACAAAATAAGTCACTTAGCATATCTCGCCTTCAGTAAGCACGCAAAAATTAATAACATAAATATTTTTTTAAATTATACTATGTAAGTACAGATCTTGATTAATTAATATACTCCTCTATTGTATAGAAGCATTTTTCTATAAGCCAAATTTGTTATATATATTAATTACCATCATTCTACTATTTTTCTTATGCAAAGTACTTACATTTTTCAATTCTTAATTTAGTAGGATCCCTCTGTTTAAATTTGCAATCTTCACTAACTTTGGGATAAATTTGAGGATGGTTTCGAAAAAAAAAATACCTATCTCAGCTATATAATATAAGGATACCACATAGATATTAATTGTGTAGTAACTATACAAAAATGCTGTCATCCAACATATCCGATTATTGTACCAAATTCTATTTCTTGGTTTTTAGCTTAGTATCATTGTTGAGATTTATTTAAATTTACATTATTTTATGGTGTAGAATTAATACCAATGTCCATACAAACTCTATTCTGTCCCATTACTAAAAATGACCATAAACCAAAATCCAGAGCATCCTATCCTACACTATACCCGATTCATTGTTATTATGTTGGTTGCTGCTCCAAATTTGGATTTGTGAGGTTGGTTGCAGTGAAGCGTCTTGAACACAACAACCAATCGGAGACGAGTTAAAATTTTCAAATATTTTTTGAGGTGGGGATTTCATCCTGCCGCCATATTGTGTTGGGCTGTGAGTGCTAGAAGTGAATATTTGAAGTATTTCTGTGTAAATTCTTTGTTACAATATTTCGGATTGATAAGCTATAAGGTAAACTATGATTTAATATTAGTTTTTGTCATAATGTTGGTATTTATGAATTATAATATATGTAAAATGTTAAACGTTTAAACCAATTACAAGACATCAAGCCGGTCGCTCTATATTGCAGCATAGGAAAGTACTTTGAGTTTGTAATGAACTAAGTACTTAAAAAAACTTGATTAATTCGAAACCATCAAGTTAATGTCATATCTATTGATCACATTGTATGTGATATCTTAAAACCAATTTCACGATGCAATATTAATACATCCAATCCAAAGGGAGTTTGATACTTGTTACTCATAATTTTAAACAAAATACCTACATGGAAGTTGCAATTAACTTAAAGTTATTAATATGTAATTGTGCTCAGATTTATTGAATACTTATTTTCCTGGTATTCATAATTAATCACTTGTTTGAACAGAGTAAGTACTTTCCTGTGAAACATTCCGGTAAATAGGCATGTTCTTTGTGATTAACAACGGAACGATGAATCATCGTTGTGACTAACTGGGGGAGACAATAATCACTTTAAAACAAGGGTGTTCTAAGTGATAGTCAAGAATCAAGCTTTAGTTATTTTTTCTCTGATTTTTGTTCGCTCTCAACGATTTTCAATAATAATATTATTGTTTCCTTTTTTTATTTTGAATAAGTTAATGTGTTAAATTGCAGTTTCTGTGTTGTAAATTGACCTACAAATAAAACGTATATTTGTATAATGTATGCATGCATTAGATTGTATTACACACATCCACTTTACCTACCCAAATTTTGAGAGCACACATTGTCTCGTAACTCATGCCTTTGATAGTCGAGAACTCCCCCAGGGCTTAAAAGCTCTCACATCCAGATTTTGATCAACGACCGTTTTTTTTTATTCTGTTTCTTGATGCGTCATATTTGTGTTAAATCAAAAGTACTTAAATGTGGTTTAGCGAATAATGTCACAATGGGCGCGGTTAGCAGGGATGTTGGGAATAGATTCAGTAATCGTGGGAAAACATACCAAGTAGATTTCTTTTATGAATTGTAAGTCGTGGTCGTCTAGTTACACACGATGAGATTTTTTAGTCATTTATGATACTCGACTTTTTTATGTTACAGTTTTAAAACTAATACATATACTGGAAAATCGACGGTTGCTTTTTTACCGTGCGTATATATAAAATATTGAATTGCATTTTACACCAATCGTATCTCAATTAAATATTTTATTGTGTAGACACGTAGTATCTCTATTCCTCTAAAGTATTATATTTCCAGTGGCGACACAAATATACCGCAAGACACTGTTAGTCAACTAACCATCTAAGTTTCGTGGCAGGATTACTTAAATATCCTTTTAGTAGTTAGAAGGCCTTCATAGTAGTTACATAAGTCCTTCAGACCTATAAATCATTGAAGGTATTTCAATATCCACCACAACCACCCACAGAGGATTTTTTTTGCAACAACAGAGCTGCACTACACCTATAGGTGTAGTGTAAATATTATAAATTAGTTCTTAATGAAGTCGGTTAAAAATCAGTAAAAGTAGTAAATACATATACCTATCGATAGCTATCGTCTCACATCAAATGGCAATGTTAAAGGCGTTGTCAAATCATGATGTTACGCCGTGGCTGCACCTACGTGCATTATTGGTATAATTAAGGGCGTTTTTCGTTAGTGTGGTCCGTATATTATTGAAACGGCCACTGCGCAGGCGATAGTAAGCGAGATCGAGATTAGGATGGAGTTACAATTAATTTTCGTGATAGCTTTTTAAATAAAAAAAAATCTAATAGTTTCGGCGGTCCAACAACAGCACAGGATTTTAGGCTATGTCGAACCCTTTATGCATGCATGTCCGATGCGCATTTAACCGTTTTTTATATGAAAATAAACTAAAGCATATCATTTTTAGCTGCTGCCGGGGTCTTTCGATTTTGTGATATATTTTTCTAATGCTTAATTTAATCATTGTTTTTTTTTTCTTTCATTTATTTAGTTAAACATTTAAATAATTATTAATAATTAAACTATTTTTTTTAAATATATTACTAAAATTTAATTTTGTTGTCAATCGTTTTAATCCGTAATTAGTAATTACCTACACACACAACACAAATATACATATACATATATTAAATATATTAATTATATTATTATAAGGGGTGTAGTGTTACATTGTGGTTTTTATTCGCAGCTGACCGCTGCTATCGATTTTCTACTTACCACGCACGTGTTCTATACGGGGGTATGCGGTACTTGCTTGCAATGTTTGTAATTGCATTATAAACAGGTAGATCCCTATTAGTCTTCCTCCCGTTTATTAAGTTTTGGTTGATAATTGTATCCAGATTCAGATTACGTATATTAAATGCGCGCAATTTATTGAAACTTAAAGTGCGTGTCTAATATTTATGTCTAACTTAATATTAGCATTGAGGTGAGGTGACTGTGATACATGTGACACCGCAGGTCTCACACGAAATACTCAACAAATACTGCGACGCCATGGCTGTAGCCATACGTAGTACAATTTTGAATAATTAAATCTCGTAAATTCACTTTTTCGAACCACTTGCAAGAAAGTCGCGCTTTTACAAAAATACTTTTTTCCCAAGCACTTATTTTTTTTCTTTCCTTTTTTCTTGTCCTCAATTGTCTCATGACTTAATTTTAATTCGAAAATACCAGTTTTTTCGGTTATTTTTGATAAGGGCGATATGCATCCTAAGGATGTTCACGTGACTTTATCACACGTGTCTAATAAAATCGCATAGGTATATGTGACCAAGAAAGATTGAGATTTTTGGGTTTTCATTGTTCAAAATTGCTTTTAACTTGTGTAAACGTGCTGCGGTGCTACGTTGTTCGTGATTTTATTTTTCCTAACCGTGTTTGTCGCAACCATTTTGCAAAGGCAGGAACAGGTATTTAACAGGCAATTTGAGAGGGGGTAATAAATCTTGTATTCTTATCAGCATTTTTGGGGGTATCGGTAGCCGTTTTTAAGGAAAACTATTTTTGAACCTTAATATTTAAATGGTGGAAAACTGGTATGGTGTTAGTATACACTTACAAAAAAAAATGAGGCGGCCGCGGCTGAAAAAGATGTGGCTAAGTCTTTCGCTCCAGATAACATTCACAAAACTTGAGAAGAAACGGAATAAACAATGTTATGTATGTTGTTATAATACACTTTTTCGATTTTACACAAAATTTTTATTCCAAGTACATTTTATTCATTCATTACATT